ATTTTACATACTTTTTTGTGTACCTCCATAAATTACCTACAGCTACTTGTGGCATATTGTAGACATTCAACAAATAGGAATTATCATTTTCACTAACAACCACACCTAAGTTTAGTGTGGTCAATAATTATTTGTTGACTTATCAACTGGGGTTCCTCTTCAAATACTACAGAAGGTGCCCTGTAGGGATCTTGTTCAAGTGTATGACTGGAGGGATTAGCAAGCCTTCTGCCGGAGGGTCCCACAAGGCGGCATTTACTTCTCCATGACTTTCAAACCTGATGCTTTGCAGAATCTGCAACAACCTATGCAGTCAGCATCTGGACATGCCAACTCACATAACTAAACTCACGGTAGAGATGGCTAAATTAATACCAAAATTTTAATTGGCAATGAGAAATATAACTGCTAGGGAGATGGTGCATTTCCATCTGCACAACCAGTATTTTCTCCTTTTATAGTCAAACAACAACTGCCCACCGAAAATCACAAGTTTACTAACAAACAGAATCAGATGAGATGTATGTAGCCTTGTTATTCAGAGAGGTCACTCTCTTTCCTGGACATTTCAAACAGCCTATCTCCAGTTTTAGTACCATATAATTCACTATATAAGTTTACCCTTTCTAAACACAATTTCCAGATCACCTTGATTGGAATTGTGGGGATTTCTAATTGTGGGGGTTTAAGTCACACACTTATAGACAAAGTCTTGGTTTACTTCTTCAGATGGCTGTTCATTTTATGTGGATATCACTAGTTAACTCTAGGTAACTGGGTAACCTTATTTTTCTTTATCACCATATTCATCAATGGACCCTGTTGGTTGGGCACTTTGGCAGAGAGAATAAAAAGGTTTTAGTCTATTTATTAAAATGCTTACAGAATAAAAAATTTAAAGGCTATGGATATATCTTGAAATATTTTCTTGACAGATATTTACTGATTACTTAATGAAAAAGAAAATAAATGGAGTAACTCATCAAGTCCAGGAACTGTGGATTTCTCTAATGACACAGTGAAGCTGCCATTTTATAATTATGGTAACTTTCACTGGCACTTCCAAATTTCCTAGGAGGAGAGGATTTGGCCAAGAACTCAACCTCACTTTAAAACAACTTGGTTTGGGGCTATGCAGAGGTAGTTGTGGGCCAATAAGCTGAGCATCATCTGAACTAGGGGTTTGGGGGAGGACATATCACGGAGTATGTGAACATTCAGGTCTGAGTCCAAAAGACAATTCAGGATGGTCGTGGTCCATCCTCAAGCTGGTCAGTGTCTTCTATGAGTTTCTTGTGATCCTGTATGAACCTACAATCAGACCAAAAATGATGACCTGTGTGGTCCAGACTGGATAGGGAAGGAAGTAAAGCTGGGAGGAGGATGGTATAATGGGGAGATGGGCAGGGACTGCAGACTGGAGTCCTTGATGAACTTCAAGATTAGGTTAAGTGTGAGTATGAGACTGAGGCTGATGGAGACATGTGAGATGAGAAAAGGCAGTGATGGGAGAATGGAATTTCTGGCGTGGACGAGTTCCAGAATTATAAATTTTCAGGATGTGGTCATGAGAATGAGTTCTTACCAGAAGATAATGAATGATGGAAAGAGGGGTGTTGGGGACATTTGCTGCTTTGCACAGCACTCATATTCTTTGCAAAATAATCCATCCAAGTAAATGGTCCTACTAGAGGCTGCCAATCATGGCAACCTACTCTCTTGACCACAGAGTTGGGTGTATCATGAAAGCCCAGCAGAATTCTTCCACAGGACTTTTCAGTACTTGGTTGGGGAAGTGGGTGGAAGACAGGAGAAGAGAGTTCCTCTCTGGGCACTGAGCTGTGAGGATATGATTCTGGAACAGTGCTCCAGGTGACTCCCAAATCGATATCTCTGGCTCTAATCTCTCCTTTGTCCTCTAGAATCCCTAAAAACATCTCCATCTGAATTCCTCATTAACCCAGGGCCCCGACAGAATTCTTCATTTCCCCCCACCCAAACTGATCTCCATCCTGCATTGCTGTCAGTGGCACCAGCCATCCAAGCCAGACATCTGGAAGTCATCCTCAACATCTTCCTCTTCTTCACGCCCAAACGCAAGCAATCCCCAAACCCTGCTAATTCTACTTTATAAAGATTTGCAAATTTCTTCCCTTCTCTGTCTTTCCACTGCTGTGGCCTTAGCACATATCTTTATTACAGGCTCTTAACTAGTCTTTTGGCCACCAGTTTTAACAAACCCCTGTCTATTCTGTCCTATTCCCACCCCTACTCTCACCCTGGCTAGAATGTGCTTTGTCCTTCAGCAGCTCACCCCTGCTCTCTCTGCAGCCCCTTCTCTGGCCACACCCCTGCTCTGCAGCCACTGAACAGCTTGCAGTTCCCTGAACCTGCCACTTTCTCTCCCTGCTCCGGGATTTAGCTCAAAGGCTGCTCACTTTGCCAAAAATGTCTCTTTTTCCTTCTTTCTTCGTGGCTAACTCCTGTTCATGATTTAAGGAGGGACTTGGGTGTTGCTGCTCCAGGCATCCTTTGGTGACAGTTTTCAACCTTGGCTCCTTGGTTGAGATCTTCCAGACATGCTCTTACGCCACTGTGGCATATGCAAGCAGAGGATTCGCTGCCCTGTGTTGTGAAAACAAATTTGTCTTTCTTCCCCATTAAGCTGCAAGTTCTCTGAGGGAAGAAATTGAGTCTTAGGCAAACTTGTATTCCATTTCCTGTTTGGATTCTGACACATAATAAATTTATCCTTAGTAAACACCTATTGAAGAATAGATAAATGAGTGAATGCAGGGAAGATGCTCACTAATTCTAGTTCTTTGATTCTGTGGACCCATTCTCTTCTTGAACAATGATGGTTTTATGAAACATTGCTAGATCGTGTCATGTCTGAACCCTATATCCTCATTAAAATTTCTTTTGCCATCAAAGCTGGAAAAATAGTCAAATGTCTTTGTCTTTACAGATGAGGAAACTAAGGCACAGAGAGGTTGAATGACACTCAAGGGCACACAGCTAGGGTAGGATCCTGGGCTCCTCTGTCCTGACTCAGTGTTTTTTTTCCCAGCTACTAAGCTGCCTCCCTCAAGCACTTGTAATTTCAAATACTTTTGATCTTGTTTCTTTGAGGAATGTGTTGAGTGCTTCTAGCCTCAGGAAATAAATGCTCCTACCTGCAGACAGCTCCCAGGAGATATCTGACTCCTTTCTGAAATGATGTTACTCTGTATTTCAGGTAGGAGGGTTAAACAAAGTGTTTCCAATTCAGCTGCCCCTGGCCTCCTCCAAGCACTTCAAAAATTCTAAGGAAAGTCTGCTTCTTCTCTCTGACTGGAAACGTGAACATGGTCTCTGAGACAGGATCCACTTGGTTGTGTAATGCGCCTCCTGGTAGGTTTCTGTAAAAACCATTTACAAGTTAGTCATGAAACTAAAGTATGTGGTGCTGGAGGTGGTGGGATGGGTGTTCAGAAAGTAAAGCAAAGCTGTGAGTTGTTTCTATGATTGCTTCCCACAGTAATTTAGGCTTCTATTCCAGCCAAGCCTAGTTTGAGTCCTTGCTTCTGTTTCCTTCTTTCTTCCATTCTATGACTCTGCCCCCATCTGTTAAAATGATCACTCCTGATTTTTCTTCAGCTTATTTCTCTGATCACTATACTTATTGCTTGTGACATTTAAACATGTTTTAGCTAGTCAGCTTGACGGAGGTTTCCTTTAGTTATGTAACATAAGCCAGTTTAAATATTTGATGTATTTGAATTGCTGAATTCAAAATACTGTTGGGCATTTCATATTAATTTTAAGAAGATGCTTTATAGATGACTAGTCTGTTTGTCAAATTATTGCCTTTTACCGTTTCTTAAAAGTTTTCATATTTCTTCTTGTGTTTGTTAAGGATGGTTACTCACCCAAAGAATAATGGGAAAAAAAAAAAAAAAGCCATAAACCTGAACAGGAAGGGCCAAGCAGATAGTGAAGACCTTCCATCTTACCCAGGCTTCTCTCAGTTCCACTTTGAACCTTAGATAACACGCTGTTTGTATATATGGGTGTGTGTATGTATGTTTATGTATACAGATGTATAAATTTAGCTACCATGCATACTTGTTGGGGTGTCAGATCAAAGCACCCTCCAAAACATTCTCTACTAAGGACAGGAACAATTTTGAGCACTGTGGGGGAAATTCCAAGGAAGCCTAATTAAAATCCTTGCCAGAGCAGATACTGCTTTTTCATGTCAGGTATTTATCACAGAATTTTAGCTTTCTTTTAAAAAAGGGCACTCTAAATATTTACTAATAAAACATTCTGAATCAATTTCTTCCTCTTTAAAAATTCTAGGTGATGAACATGAGGACTGTGATTACGCAGTACTGGAGAAGAAATGATTTGGGGATTGATGCACATGAATTCCATGGCGGCTCCACCTGCCAGGTGGAGGTCTGAGCATCTTCACAAATCCATTCTCCCTACCCATCCTTCCTTGCAGCCTCCAAGAATGCCTGCCCAGGCAGCCTCAAGCTTCCGGTAGGGGTTGCTGTTGTCTAATACAAGGCCTATTGTTCTCAATAGAATTTGGTTATCGCTTCAAATCATTGCTAACCTTTGCCCTTTCCCAGGATTTAATCTGTTTAAATTAATATTGGTTATTTGCTCTTGAGTTTACTGTGAATTTAATCTTATATTACTGTTTAGTACATTAAAGTGCTACTTTGGTTGCTACCACTACACTGATTAGCATTAATTTTCCCCAGAATGTGTTCTGAATATCAGTGAACTTGTTCAGGAGAAGGAATGATAATTTTATTATTTTTAAAACAGTGAAATATTTGATTACTTTATAAAATGCATGAAGTAAATTTTGATGAGATCGGTTCTAGAATCAAACTAAGACTTTCAGAAGAATTGAAACACTGGTCTTCACATACAAGTTTTGCCTTTAAAATTTTATTTTCCTGCTGGTAGAGATGCATTATATTTGCATTTTTGAGCCTGAATAATTTTAATTCCATTTTTATTATACAAACCCAAGAGGAACATTTACTTTGTTTTCACTGATTAGTTATACAATTATTCTTTTCAGATACTACATGAACCATGAACCATAATATTATATTCCTTGCTAATACACTTTGGCAAAAGTATTTACATGAAAACACAATACGTAAATGTAATGACTTTCTCAAATGAGCACACTGTTGCCATGAAGCAATCACCTTTAGTTTAATACAAGTAAAATTCATTAATTTTTCTCAGTTAGCAAGCCGACTTTTCTAAATGAACTAGTGAAGGAAAAACATTGCCTGTTTTATCCTAACCCAGCTGATTTGCCTTTTATTACCAGATGCCTATTTGGGGAGGAGAAAAAAAAAAAGAAGTCTTTAATTTTAATAAACTTGATGCAATGCTGACTCCTACGGGATTAGGTATGGTTCTGATATACTTAGTTTCTTTTTGGTTAGTTTCAAAGTAAAAGTTAGATTCAAAGCAAAAGGCTTTGAAGCCAAGATACTACCTTCAAGACTCTCAAACGTTGAAAAGAAGAACTTGGAGACCCAAATGAACAAATCCTTTGAATTGCAAAACTTAACTTACACAAAAGAATATTTTATTTTTCCCCTTTCATTAAAATGTTTAAATCCCATCATAAGTCTAATAACCAGATTATGTCATTTGACACAGACAGTTGAGTTGAGCCTTGTATCTGTAAACACAAATGTAGTTTTTTGGAAAAAAATACAGTTAACTTTGCATTCACATTTATATAGTATAGATTTCAGACTAAGTTAACTGCCCCTTTCTGAAGTAATTTTTTAGTTGTAGTGTTGGTTATTCACTTTATGTGTAGAGTAAAAACATTTTTTTCCACATTAAGATAAGTTAAAAAAAATGACACTAGCTATGCACATACTGAATAACTCAGGGTATGGGATTTATAAAATCTGTTAGCTATTCCTAATAAAAATGCAAAGACTAAGAATGCTAACGATCTTATATATTTGTGAGGCTCCTGCTCTTAAAATACTTAATATCACTTAATCTAATTCTTGGAATACCTGTTTAGCATTCTTCAGATGGATTGTAAAATGTTAGTTAAATAATATTTCTAAGGGTACAAGGTGAAGACTGAAAATTCCAATTTCTAGTACTGTTTTTCCAAGATAAGGGACAACTAATACAGTCTTTGTCTTGTAGGAAGCTGGAGTCAGATGTTAAAATAAAGTTTACATTAATCCTGAGGAAAATTCACAGTATCTTTCTCTTTCCCTGATATTTCAAATAGCTCTTAAGTTGACAGGGGGGTGGAGTCATTAAAAAAAACAGAAGAATCACAGCAGTAAACTAGGGGTATGTGACATTCTCTAATAAAAGGAACCAGGCTCCTTGGAAAAATGGCTGATTATAGGACTGAGGCAGAGACTATTCAGCATGAATCTGGAGCATCCTGTAGTGCCAGAGAGTGAGGAAGTGCTCAAAAAACAAAGAGAAACAAACAAACAAAAAAAATGAGGCATGTCAAAGGGAAATAAAAAGCAACCTGAAAAAACTACGAACAGACAAACCTGGAACAATGTGGGCAACAAAATAAAGAAGGTAGTATTGGATGTATGACCCATAGTATAAAATAAATAGCCATGAATCCATAATTGAACAAAAAATGAAATATAAAAAATGAAATACTAAAATATTCATATGAAATAGCCCAATTTAAAAGTTTTAAACATTAGCAAGTAGTTAAAACTCTTTTTAAAATACTGTTCAAAGAAAACATATTTGTGAACCAAATTGAGTTGCAGGTCTCCAATTTACAATCTAAGCCACAGTCTTCTATTTGCCCTGGGTTCATTTTTCAAGATTATATAGGGTCATTCATAATTTTCACAGCAAATGTAACCCTAAAGTTTGATGTTGATCTTTGCGGAATACTAAGCTTGTTAAGATATGAAAAAGGAAATGTGAAAAAATGGGTCTAGAAATCCTTGCCAAGGAGCTACACAGTTTTCTCATATAGAGTTGACCCAACTCCTCAAAACCAACCTGCTTTTCCAAGGTCCTTCTGATCAAAATGGATCCTGTAATATTATCTAGCCTCATAAAGGAGTGGAGAAGCTCCCTCACCATTGATAGGAAAAGATTGATAAGATACATCGTTAGGTGAAAAGCCAAGGTGGAGAACAATATGTCTAATATAACACTTTTTGTGGTAAAGTAGAGGAAAATAGAGATATATTTTTATGGTTGCTTGTATAAACATGAAATAAATCCATAGGTTATGTAAAAATTTCATAACCACTGTGAACCTACGGGGTGGGAACTGGGCAGATGGGACAATCTGAAGAGGAGGCTTTTGTTATATACCTTTTCTTTAGTTATGCTATCACCTTTCTGAAAAGTTAAATTTAAAAATATATTCTATTTTAATCACAAATCCATATTCAACTAACTTAAGTTTGAAAAATGTGTTTTGTTGGTTTATGTACTGGAAGAGTCCAGGGGCAGAGTAAGAGATGGCTGGATAAATCAGAACTTTCTTGTTTTTGTTCTCTAACTCTCAACTCTCAGCTCCTGGGTGTTGGCTGTATTCTCTCTTGCAGCAGATGGCTGACCCTCAAAGTTCAGGAAAAATGGCCACAAGATGCATGAGTCATAGGCTTATATTATCCTGAGACCTTGCCAAAGAGGAAGAGAAAACATCTTTCCTTCTCTGACAGTTAAGTCTAGACTATCTTGGGTCACATATCCTTCTTGACCCCTGAACCAATCATTGTGGTCAGGAGGTAGAATACTCTGATTGGCCAGGCCTAGGGCATATGGGAATGGTGAGGATGCCCTCACTTATACCACACAGAAACGGGCTGGCATGATGGGCAGTGAACACATATCTACTATAGAGCCAAATGTACTTAAAACCAGAACAAATCCAAATCCCTGTGGCTCAGGCATTTATATCTAGACTTACTGCAGAACTCAGGGATCCACAAGATGCTAGGGACCTGGAAAATGACCATTCATCATATAAAAGTTTGCTCTCCATTTATGTGGGCGTGAAGTTGACATCCTTCTCTAAGACCCTACCTGATTAAAGTTGCTATAACAAACTGGAAAACACATCAAGCCCCTTCCCCTCACACACTGTTTATTCACTCCTGATATAAATAGTTTTAGAGTCTAAACTTAAATGATGAGACAAAGGAAGATGTTTGCCAAAAGAAAGAGTAATGCAAGAAGCTCTGATTTCAGAAATGCTGAATTAATCTTCATAACGCTGCCAAATTTTTAGAAAGTAAAAAACTCAGCTAAGCTCATTAAGAAATCATCTAACATGATGATTGAAGACAAAAGGGTGGATATTCAGTTAGTGAGTTACCCAGCTCATGCATCTTGCAGCTTTTTCAGAACCTTGGGAGAACCCACCTGCTTCAAGAGAGAAAGCTGCTACACTCAAAAATATCTACACACTATGCGTTGTGAGAGGAAGCAGGGTGAACTAAGCCTCTCAAATCCCTTTAAACGTCAGTTTCCTCATCTGCAAAATGGAGATAAATTTGTTTTGCAAAGCTGTTGGGAGTTGTATTTGTGCCCTATTGCTGCTATAACAAATTACTACAAACTTAGTGGCTTCAAACAACACAAACTTATCTATAGTTCTGGCAGTCAGAGTCCGAAATGGGTCAGCAGGGTTGTATTCTTTCTGGAGTCTCTAGAGGGATAATCTTTTTTTTTTTTTTTTTCCTTTTCTATGTTCTAGAGGCTACCCACATTCCTTAGCTCATGGCCACATCACTCCAACTTCTGCTTCTGTGGTCATATCTTCTTTTCCAATGCTGACCCTCCTGCCTCCCTCTTACAACGATCCTTGTGATTACACTGGCCCACCCAGATAATCCAGGGTAATCTTCCCATATCATGATCCTTAGCTCAGTCACATCTGTAAGGTCCTTTTTGCCATATAGGATAACATACTTATAGGATTCAGGGATTAGAGCACAGACATCTTTGGAGGTCATTATTCTGCCTGCTACAGGAGTATAAAATGAAACAATATCTGTGACTATTCTCAGCATTGTGCTTGCCACACAGCAGACATTTGACCAATACCTCTTTGCAGTTTGTAAGTTTTAGCAATTCAGATATTTGACCGTGCATCCTGTCCAGCATTAAATTCTTAGATGTTCAGTATCTTTGTGGGGGCAGAATACACAATGCTATGTTCTCATGGATGCCAACCTAATTTTATACATTTATGAGCTCTGTGTACTGACCTTAGAAGATACTTTCTGTCCAAAAGTAAAGGGCAGTCCTTGAATAGAACTATTTTAAATAGTAAATGGTAAACATGCAAGTTCTCTTCAGTTACTCTTTAACCGAAGACCAAATGCCGCACACAAACTGTGGAGAATTTTCAGAGAATACTCAATGTCCTGAAGAATGTTACATCTTGTAAAAGATAGTAAAAGGGTTATTTCATCAAAGTATGTTGTCAGAGGTCAAGATGTAACAATACAGATATTGGTGCCTCAGCAGATCTCCTAATTTGTATTTGGGTTAACAGGTTCCCAGGGCATCTCAGCCTCCCTTTTTTGGGGAGGGTCCTGCTGGCCGCAAACTGTACTCAGTGCAGCCCAGTGGCCCTGAATCAGGTTGGTGGATGCTAAATTGTGAGTTTTTCTCTAGGCCCATTATACTCCAAAGACTTCAGTGGCCAAACAAAACTCCCCATCACTTTGAAGAAGGTATGCAATGGCCTTCGAGAGGCTCCCCAAAAGACTCATGAAGCTTAGTTCACATATCTAAAGAAAGGTAAGATGAAGTCTCCACTAATTTTAGTGAAAAAACACCCATGATACCCAGAGGGGCCAATCTTTGCAGTAATGATGCAAGTATTTGGTATGCAAGTATTTGCAGTATTTAGTATGATGGGCCATCCCTAGTATGTGTTCTTTCTGGTTAACAATAGTCTTTGTTTAGTAGTCACTCTCCTATGAGGAAATGCAATGTAATCCTCACAGTCTTCTGCTGCTGGCTGGGACCTATTATCAATAGGTCATAAATAAATGACTACCACATAGGAAAGACAGTATGATTATATATACTCCTACTACTTCCAATTACAGTTAGAGCAACAATTATAAGGTTGTACTCCTACAGCCACCCTAGGGAGAAAATGAGAGGAAAATGTTCCATTAGCTTAATGAAGAGAGCACAGCAGGGGCACAAATTTTCTCACTATTAGCACCTATGGCGCTACATGAGGGAAGCTGGAGATGCAGGGTAACAATTAAACTTTCTGATAATTAGCCCCTACAAAGTGTGTTCCCTGAACCCAAAGGAGACATTTAAAGAATCACATTTCCATTTTTCTCACCTCTTATCTATGAAATTTGAGTGAGTCATTTGCTTGTGGAAACAGAGGGAGTCAGGATGAAAGTTTATTTCAGGGTTGACTACAAAGTATTGTTGGCAGGCTTGCTGGAGAACACACATCAGCTGAATGGCGTGGTGTGTAAAAGGGAAGGTTAAGAGAGCTTAAAGCCAAGAAATGTTTACACCAACCTAATTAGAGAAAATATGGATTTGTTCAATGTGAGTAATGTAGCTTCCTTGTTACCTCTGCTAAGAAGATGACCACAGGAGGGGAAAAAACTGCTCCACTCAACGAAGCAGAACACTGACCTCGATCACACCGGTCCACTACTGCTATTGCTTCTTATTGCCCCACAGGGTCGCTGCTGAAGAATGTCCAACAGCCCCCATCCATGTTGCAAGGAGGCCTCTCTCAGCAGGACAAAACCGATCTTAGATGAAGGCTAACTCCTCTTCCTAGGAGCTAGCTTTGACCGGAGTATGCCTTTTTCTGTTTTATACCCCAGGTCCTGGTCAGCCTCAGTAACTCTGGATCAGGACTGGTTCAACCTAGAGCCTTCTCTCCCCACCCTTCCCTGAATTTGACACCTCCAGGAATTGGGCAACTTCTCAGTTTAAACCCTTGAAATACCCTCAGAGGGGTTTCCTGGATTACAAATTTCCAACCTTTGACTTCCAATAATAGTGACTGAGAGAAAGCTGAAAAGAAAAATGTTAAGTTGAATAGCAGACTATGTCTTATTGAGAAACAGTATTGCCTAGGAGACAGTCTTTCAAGCATGATTATCCTTCATGTCTGTGGGGTTTGCCCGTGTTTCAGGAGATAGTCTGCGACTACAGTTAGTCTTTAGGTGTTTGGTGAAATAACCAGTTGTTTTAAAATCATTAATTCGTAACAAGATACTGAGTTGGAGAAGTAGAGTACTTCCCAATTACACTGTCACCAGTCCTTGTGACAAGCGTGGTCACCTCCCTTTCCTGAATCGTGTGGTAGCTACTTTTCACAGCACTTGCTGCTCTCTTCCTGATTACCAGAAGGCTCACTCTTGCCCCCTGCCACCTCCACCCTCAGGTTCTGTGGCCATTGTGCATTATGTTGTAGAAATTACACCACCCTCTGGACCTCTGCATCTTTCTTCCTCCCCCCGCCCTCCTTTTTTAACTCCAGAGAATTTGTCACTACTGACATACTCCATATTTTACTTATCGTTGTGACTTTGTTAACATTTATTAAGTAGAGCCCTGGGGTGTTGGATGGTGAGCCACGAGGTGTTCAACGAAAACCACCAGGGAAAGTGAAATAGAGAAACTTATTACTCATAGGTCCTGGAGGAGGTACATGACACACTAAGAGGGGCCATGAGGAGAGGTCGAGTCAGGGTGCAGGCAGAGAGAGTGTGGCAGGACCCAGGGCACATGCCTTAATAGGGTCCTCAGGTGGAATGCTTTGAGATTCCCAGCTGAAGGCTGAGTTGGTCAATTCAAACCCAAAAGAGTACAGTTTTGGTGTAATCTAAGGAGTGCACAAGGAGAGGCCCTGGGAGATGGGGGAGAGTGCTTATCACAATTGGGGGAGTCATATCAGGATCTTGTGATTCTGCGGGTATGGTGTCAGTTCAAGGCCCCTGCAGGCAGTGTGGCCACATAAAATGAATGCCAAGGCAGGAATATGTGTTATAGGGTCGTCTAAACTCTCAACACTTATTTATGTCTTTATTTCCTATTTCTCCTTAATATGGTATAAGCTCCATGAGGGCAGGGGTTTGTTTTATTCATTGCTGAATTCCCAGTGCCTAATATGCCTGAACATAGTAGATGCTCAATAAATAGTTGTTGAATTAAAGAAAAAACTGTAGGCAGAATTTACCAAAGTCTTTGTATATGTGTGTGTGTTTGCGACCCAACCAAGAAAATTCTGTAAGGGAAAGATTTTTATAACTTCACAACTTGCCTTCCTAACTATGAGCCCTGCCATCATTTTCATCACCATCACTCTTTCCTATTGCTAATAATTTGTGTCATCCAAATTATTTTCCCCAAATTATGTGGCTACAAACGATAATATTTGGTTTACATAAAATGTGTCTTATATGCATAATAGAAGCATAGCAGGTGACAGAGACTTAGAGATCACCCAGTCATCTTGCCTTGCTCCCACATTTTTCAGATGAGGAAACAGACAGTAAATGATGTAGTCATGATTGCATAGCTACCAGCACTGCCTGGATCTGGGGGCTTTTGTTTTAGTTTTAGGATAGAAAAGTCATGTGACTTTACAAAGGGATTTGAAAACCTGTCCTCATCATAATAGAAGATCCCCCGTTAAACTCGCAAGCCCTAATTCCCTGTTTGGAATCTGGAGGTAATGATTTATCAGGGTGGACCACGTGAACAGGATGAGTAGGGAATGGTTGACGTGGTGTAATTTGAGAGGTAGGATGGAGGCCCTATAACTCCAAATACAGAACACCCTCAAGGTCAGAAATTGCACCATTGGCCTTTGTGCCAAGCTTTACTCACTCTGCAGTCCTATTTGAAAAGCAAATCTTCTGAATGGTGGAACACACAGGTTCCTAATACTTCAGGGGTACCGTACATCTCTGGATGTTTTCTGCAGTTGGTGTACGTGGCACAAAACAGAGCATGTTTTGCGGGTAGAGAGGAGTAGGCAGTGATGTATCGAGGGCAGGGTGGTCCTCTTCGCATGTACGCAAGAAGGGGATGCATTGTCTGTAGAGAAGCTAAACACAATAACAAAACTGATCAAAAGTTGGTCTGCTTTTTATTGTCATGTGCCAACAATTCTAAATAATGTTAGTGATGAAATAATCCTCCCCCAAACTCTTTTAGTCTAAATTCTAAACAATTGCTGTCGTTATTGTTGAGTTAAAATATATAAAATGAGCACATTTTGATAACTTATCCTTTAATAAACACTGTATCCTACATGTAGATTGATTTGGAAAATTCCCAATTATACTGTTTGCCCCACACATGGACCCGGCTACACCCATTCCTTTCCAGAGTAATAACAATTGAAGATTGTTAAAGCTTGCTTTGAAAGCAGTTTCTCTCTCTAAACTTTGGGGCACTACATAGTCCTGTGTTTAAACAGCTTTTTTTTTTTTTTTTGAAATTAACAGTTTAGCACAGTGATTGGAAAGATGAAGAAATAGAACTTGGGTTGCTTCAATTCGGTCTTTCTGGGCAGTTTTTATTATAATAGTGAAACAGTATACTAACTCTGAGGTATAATGTTTCTGTTTGGGAAGTGTAAATTTTGTTTCAAACATCTAATCTTTTACTCAATTAGAATAATACCTTCATCGTTAATCATTTGTTTTAAACTAAAAAATAACAAGAAAATAGAATGTTACATCAGTGGTATGTTTTAGTTGTCTAAATTGTACCTTTTGCATATGTTTTGGTTTTATTAAAACTCACTTATCAGTTACTGCAATGTTATTTTTTGTTACTGTAACAAACTGTTATGTAGGTATAAATTCATCCCCCTTTAAAAATACATCAATGTAATTTAAAAGTAAGTACATTTTAGTTTGTTCTGTGATATTTTATTTTGTATATTTTACTGGCATGATTATTATATATATGGCATATATATACATATATGAGATACACACATATGTACATATATATTCAATAAAAGACAATTTTTATTATCTGCACCCCTTTTCTGGCCATCATTCTTGTTCCTTTCGTATGCTGAAAATAATTTTGTCATATGGAGGTGATAGGTGTTAAAAAATAATCCACTCCATATGTCAAATACTGCAGGTATGCCACCAATATCCACACTGACACTACACTGAGATCTTCTACCAGCATCTCTAGTAGCTAGTTGTAACTTTGCAAATAATACTTTGCATGTTGGTTGTTTTTCTAGTGATTACTAAGCCAATGGTTTGTATAACAATTTGAGTTCCATTTTTAACTCCATCAAAAGATAAGGATTCTTACTATTGTAATTACTTTGTCTTTACCGGTTAAATTAACATTCAGCTCTTGGGGTTGCTGTGCAACATACGATATGATTTTACCTACTGTTTGTTCAAAGTAGTCTTGTCACAGTAACAGCATGCTAGCTTGAAAAGCCTTATAACAAATAGGTAAATACACGTCTTTTGTGAATTAAAGGGGGTAATTATGTCAGCCTTACTGCATTTGTGGGTGAATAACTAAAAATAATTGAAGTAAAAATGTCAGGAAACATTTAACATTAAATACAAGGAATCAAAAGATTGTCATAAAAATGAGAATGACCTATAAAACACAATTTTTAGTTTCTCTTGAGAGAGTACCCACATTAGAATATGAAAACACATGCACAAATACTCTTTTATTTCCCCTTCATTTTAAGCAGTCTCACTCCTATATACTACAGGTACAATTGCTATAATTTTCCTGTCAAAATAGATCTTTGCTATAAAAGACCCCCAAATGATTATTTTAAAAATTTATCTTTATGCTTTATACAAACAGAACCCAAATAAATCTTGATATTGAAAATATTTTGGCTTGCTAGAAACATGTAGGATTATGCTATACAGGGTGTGCTTATTATTGAGATTCATTTAAAAACAAACACACCAGAATTTGCAACTGAGCTTCAAAGTAGTCTTTGGTTAACTACACACTTATTCCATGATTCTGTCTTTGTACCAAATCTTTCTGGGAATTCCTTTGTCTTTGTGAATAGCCTTTAAACCATGTGGCATATTCTTCCAAATATTTGATTTCTTAAATTTAAGCTCCATGACTATAAGATGGTTGATTAAGCTAGATAAAATGGTTTTTTATTTAATACAATGAGGCAATCATAAGATTCATTTTCCTTCTGCAGCTTCTAAATTAGCTTTGAAGGCTTTTGCAAAGAGAAGTCCCCGAAATATCTTTCTTGCTATGATAGCTTCACTAGAATCACCTCTAGAGGAGATTAATCTGAAAGACAACATGTATTTGAATACCTGGAACTGGTGGGGTTGTTGATGATGTGAGTCCCATTTTTAAAAGAGAGGCAAATGGATTCTAATGGTTTTTGATGTAAAGCAGTGATGGTGGCATAACTAAGTTAGCTGTGTTTGAACAAGAGTGAAATACTTCAAGTTAGAAGTCACCAGGAAACTGACATAATCAGTTTCAGAATCATATTAAATTTTCTCTGATCTTTTTCTCTTAAATTTTGCCTAGAACATTATCAGTGGTGGATCAATGACACACTTTTGCATATGTAATTATTCTCAACCTCATTCCAAAAATGATTTGAGGAAATTAAAAATAAAGGATATAATAGTATAATATTAATAAAGTTCAATGTAATAGGATAGAGTAGTACAATAGGATACAGTAAGATAAAAAGATAGAGAAATTGAGGCAAAGGAAAGTAAAGTTAGAATAGTAAAATGATTCAATACAAAGACGACAAAAAATATATATGAAAAACTCTGCACATCTTTAATAAAGGTCAAAATTTCAGCTCTCAGCTTCCTCGTGACCAGAGAGGAAAATGATCTGTTACAAGAATATATGTGTGTGAATGAGTTCATTCTCTTTCTCTTCTCTCTCCCCACCCTGTCCCCACCCCCGTGTGGTGTGTGTGCATGTTTAAGGAAAAGCAGTGGGGCTGGTTAGCTTAACTAGATGGAAATCTAAACCTAACTTTGCCATTAACACAAACTTTAAATTTGTCTGTCCTGCAGTAAATGTGGAGATTTAATATTTTGCTTTTCCCTATTTTGCTAGCACATTACAAAAAAGAAAATACTTGGGATGTAAATAATAGTGACCTACTTCCTGTTCATAAGTCATTAATAGAAACAGCTATCATTATTTGAGGGCGAGTCAAGGGGAATGTGTGCCATCACCCGTGTACCATTCACTTTATATGTGCTGTGTCATTTCATTCGTACACCAATCTTATGAAGATTCCTATTTTACAAATGAGGACGCTGGGTCCAAGGTTTCCTTAAACAGAGATGGCATTTGAACTGTGTCTGCCTAACCTGAAAGTCACACTATATTCTCCACTGACCACACTGCTTACTAACCCCTCCAAGGGCTTTACTGGAAAAGCTATGTTAAGTAGCACAATGAAGACTCATCCTGATTTCAGATTCCCTGAGCGTCAATCTTTCATTTTCAAAAAGGCTCAAGGTAACTTTTGTGTACCTATCTGAGCTTCAACTTTTCTGTTGCCAAATACTACCTGAACTATTATTTACTCTATATTTTGCTTTATATGTATTCATTTAAAATTTATCAATAGAGGAAAATTTATACTATTAAAAATGTACAAACAGCATGTTTGCTAGAAATAGAAACATAAAGAGAAATAACTATTAATAGCTGTGAGTTTATGTGGCCTCTAGGAAGCTCTCAGGCACCATCAACTGGGCATCCCAAGGGAAGCCTCTGGTGCAGGACTGGGAAGTTAGGAAGCTCCTCCCTCCCTGGGTGTGGGGAGTGGTCCTCAACACGAGTTTCCTGAGGGTCACACACAGGCCTCGATGGTTTTATCATGCCATTCACTTTTCCACTTTCAGATATCAGACAGTCTTCGCGTTGTGGTAGGGACTCAGGCCTAAAGAAGATGAAGGAATATGTCCACTGCTATTAGAAATCTGTAGCTGCAGCTCAGAGTACTTTATTCAATAGAGCTAATTTGGGCAAAAGTGCTGGTAGAATAAAAAAACAAAATGTTCCTATTCTGTTAAAAGAGAACAAATTATTTTCAACTCTTTTTAGCATTATTAAGATTTAAGTGCCCTGATCCAAAACTTCAGATTTCTAGGAAGCTAAATTTGACGATTCAAATGTTTCATTAAATCAATAAATCAAGCAATCTGCCTTTTTTTTTTTTTGCGGGGGGCGGGGCTCGCGGGGTTCGCGGGCCTCTCACTGCTGTGGCCTCTGCCGTTGCGGAGCACAGGCTCCGGACGCGCAGGCTCAGTGGCCATGGCTCACGGGCCCAGCCGCTCCGCGGCATGTGGGATCTTCCCAGACCGGGGCACGAACCCGTGTCCCCTGCCTTGGCAGGCGGACTCTCAACCACTGCGCCACCAGGGAAGCCCAAGCAATCTGCCATTTAAAAAAATTATGTTGTCAATTAAATCACTTTTTTCTATTATTTTTAAGAAAAAAATTTCAAGAAAATTCAGGAGATAAGAGTTGGTACTTAAAGCATTTCTTTCTTTCAGATTGTAAATCCTGGGAAAGCAAGCACTTTGTTTAATCTTTACCTTTAATCTTTACATTTTTTTCCCTAGAGTCTAGTACCATATATTACATAATAAATAATGTGTCGGAATATTCTGAATGTATTTATTTCCTTACCAGGTTTAATCAGTTGTTCATCTTATGAAGAAATGATTCCCACACGTAGCAATTAGTTATGAATGGTACAGACTTAATCTTGGACATTATAAAGAAAAGCCTTCCAGAAGTTAATTGAGCTCTGTTAATAGTTTGTGGGTTATTACTGCATTTGTTCAATGTTCCTGTGGATGAATTTTATTTTCGCTCAATCCCACTTTTGGCAGAATATGACTGTTAGGTCACCTTATGGTATGTGAGTTTTGCGTAAATGTCTTTCCATGAATAATGATGAATTGTTAAACTGTAGCAAACTTTATATAAACACTTAAACCCACGCAGTTCTACGGCCATTTTATTAACTCCCAAAGACCCATTCAAGCAATGGAGTAGGCATTCCTGCAATACAATATACAGCCGAACATTCAAAACCAAGGCCAAATGGACAATTCATATAATTTTGATAGTCTGAAGGCATAACTGTCTAATAACTAGTTGCATGAAAAGGCCATTTTTAATCTTTGATGTAGAACGGAATGAACACTAATCAAATACCTATGTACTTAGAACTTTGTATCATTCAATGCTCACAATACCCTATGAAGCTTGGAGGAAAGTGAAGACCACAGACATTAAGTAATTTATCCAAGACCACCCAGCTTGTAAATGGCAGAGCTGGGATTTGAAATCAGTCCTGTATGACTTCAAAGATTATATATTTGCTCTACATCATTCTGCCTTTATGATAAATGGAAATTTTCAAAATAATCACTTGGAATTCTTGGATACTGGCAACTCTACTTCATCAGTATATGGGACTCACCGAAAGCTGTGACTTCATGAGGTGAGGGGAGTCATAGCATACCAGGTCATATTATATTGAACAAAACGAGGATTGACTCTGGTGAATAGTGGGGAGCTCACAAAGCCACTGTAGAGTGAGTTGCAGAAGGGAATTTCTAAAATGAGAGTGCCAAATGCTTTAGGGTTTACGGAAGCATAACTGCAAAGAATGTGTCCTATGATGGGTAACAACTGCAGGCCTCCACTGTTGCTAGTCTAACAGGTTGAGCCAAAACGCTGCACACTGTGTCTGAAGAGCAGTGTCACAGACGGTGACAAACCCTCCAAATAGTGTTAGAGATGGCAATCACAGGGTAGAAACCACCTGTGCTGAATGTGAATGGAACTACTGTTTGCCCAACGGACTTTTTATACACACATGCAAAACCATAATCACTCGACATCATTGATTTGTCTCAGGTGGGAGAACAATCTGCTTTATTTCATATTTAACATTTCATTGTGTTAGTGAAGCACACTAACTGTTTCTAGTGGCACTGGGAATACAAAGATGCAAAGATGAATGTCATTGTCCTCAAGGAGTTCAAAATATTGGTGAGGAAGGTGGGGTAAAGTTTGCAAACTAATACGTAAGAGCAGTGCTCTAGAGCTTGCATTTTTGTTTTACTTACACACATATGCACAGTCGTGTATATATGTATGTATATATATACTCAAATGAAACAAGGTTAAGAATGTGTTCCACAGTTCTACTGATGTGAACTAAAAAATTTAGTTTTTTAATTTATCTGTCCATTGACAGATGAATGGATAAAGAAGATGTGGCACATGGGCTTCCCTGGTGGCGCAGTGGTTGAGAGTCCGCCTGCCGATGCGGGGTACATGGATTTGTGCCCCGGTCCGGGAAGATCCCACATGCCGCAGAGCGGCTGGGCCCGTGGGCTGTGGCCGCTGAGCCTGCGTGTCCGGAGCCTGTGCTCCGCAACGGGAGAGGCCACAGTCACAGCAGTGAGAGGCCCGCGTACTGCAAAAAAAAAAAAAAAAAAGATGTGGCACATATATACAATGGAATATTACTCAGCCATAAAAAGAAATAAAATTGAGTTATTTGTAGTGAGGTGGATGGACCTAGAGTCTGTCATACAGGGTGAAGTAAGTCAGAAAGAGAAAAACAAATTCTGTATGCTAACACACACACATGGAATCTAAAACAAAAAACAAAAAAACAATGGTACTGATGAACCTAGTGGCAGGGCAGGAATAAAGACGAAGACACAGATGGACTTGAGGACACGGCAGGAGGGGGAAGCTGGGGCAAAGTGAGAGTAGCATCAAAATATATACACTACCAAATGTAAAACAGATAGCTATTGGGAAGCAGCTGCATAGCACAGGGAGCTCAGCTCGGTGCTTTGCCAAGGATCTAGAGGGGTGGAATAAGGAGGGTGGAAGGGAGGCTCAAGAGGGAGGGGATATGGGGATAATTGTATGCATATGACTGATTCACTTTGTTGTACAATAGAAACTAACACAGTATTGTGAAGCAAGTATACTCCAATAAAGATCTATTAAAAAAATAAAAATGCTAAAAAGCTATGACTTTTTAGACCATGGCATTTTAGATTGGCATTAACTCTGCTTCATGACTTCTTGCATTATCCACTTGCAGTGGGTAATGACAAAAATACAGAAGTTATATTATTAATAAATATCTGGGTGTACTAAAAAAATTTAGTTTATCAACTGAGTACAACGTATATTAGCATATCAACAAATTATATAACAGCTCTTCACTTACATATTTTCTGTATAATCCTATTTATACATCATTACATTTTCTTCATTGATAATGCAGAGGTAAGTCTCATACGAGCACATGTGAACATTCATTCAAAATTAGCAAGGAAGGGAGGCAGAGAGGGGAGACAGAGTGTGTGAGTGTATATTTGAGTCTTTAGGAATGCGTTAGTATGTCTGTATATTAAGGTGGAAATTAAATATAGTAATTCCTTTAGAAGTTTATATTTATCTAAATATCAAACATCTGGAAGCAAAAAATATTCCCTTGCAATGTATATACTTACTATATTAGATGTTTCTGGGATTCTCTTTTTGGAGAGACAGACCTCCAGGGATATGACATTGTCCCTGGGATGCCCTTCTTTCCTTTGTCTGCCTGGTGAACTTCAACCATCACACCTCATTGGACAATTTCTGTACAAACAATATATAGAAGTAGTCTTCCATATTACAGTGCTAACACATTGCAGGAGTTATAATGTACCATTCAAAATCAGGTACTATTTTTTGTCTAGTTCTGGAATGGTATATAATAGGAGCACAGTAAAAGTTTAATATTAATTATGAGTTTTTATTGACTAAACTAAGTTCTCAATTTCAACTGGATTACTCAGCAGTTTTTAAACCCAAATCATATGTTATGTTCAACTTTGTTTAGGCCTTTAACATTAAATTAAATGACTTACTATTTTAGTATGAGGGAAATACTTTAATTATGGGCCTGAAGCCACTTATATTCACCTTAGTTAAAAAGTCCTCTTGCTGCTACCAGTTAACAAGCTGGTAGCATTATTAACCACTTCTCCCGGTGATTTCCTTAGCAAAAGTGGAGTTAGAAGCTTGGCATTTGCTTTATTTTAGATTCAAAAAAACTTTTTTAAGATTATGAACAAAGACTGAAGTTCCTTAGAAAAATGTTAAATAAGATATTCATTTTAAATATAAAATATCCAGGTTAACGCAAATGAAATATTTTTTATCAATTATTTCTATACTTTATATGATGCTCTGTAAATACTATAGAAATGGTAAATAATAAAATATCTGGCAAAGAGGTTCTCAAGAGCCTGTAGCATAGGCTAATAATCTTTGCTAAGTGTGATAGAAAGATTTTTAGGCTGAAATACAGAAGACTGACAACTGGTCATCTTGGTGAATCTAAGAAGACAATTCTTCAAAAATTACTTAATCCATAAGGGATTACAGAATACTGAATTGTATTCAGTAACACCTGCAAGGGACCAAGTAAAATATGGTATTTAAACCCCTATTAAACACTATACTTCTAAAATATAAAAGTGATTTAGATTGTTCATTTTCCACAGATGAAAGCTAAAATTCTGAATTTTTAATTATTGACTTTCCCCCAATTTTAGCAGTACATATAATACTTATTAAATTTTTAAATGTTAGATTGGTATGCCTGCTTCCAATTGCTGTCTTGTTTAATTCTCAACTTTTTCTTATGAAGTAGCTCAAGATAAATGTAGCTCAAAAAAGCTCTCATAATTATCAAGCTATTTTTCCAATGCACATATTATATATTCAATTACACACTCAAGTAATTTCACAATTGTTTTCATTTAAAAAATTATTTTCAGTTGATTATTTCTTATGCATTGTAGATTCTGGGAGGAAAGTTACATAAAGCATTTGAAAATAATTCAAAGGTGTATTCAAGTGAATGAGGTTTTTATTTTAATAGGATACTTTTCCTAGTGACAATAATCTTTAAAAGAGAAAGTATTAATACCTCAATATTTTGAAGTAAGATAGCTCAGAAACACAAGTTAAATGCTATTTATTTACTTTTCTAAAATGTACAAATGACTCATTTTTATTATCACTCATGCACTGTAATAGCTGGGAGAACAGCAGGTTGCTTGAAGATGTAACAAATATTCTTTGAACACTTCAATAAACAGAATGTAAACATTCACTTTAATAATGTTTCCTTTGTTAATGCAAAACTGAGTGCATTTTTTCCTTGTCTCTGGTTGAGTCATGACTAGCTGAGTAGCAACAGCAGAGCGCTGAAAGAATTTTTCAACAGCAATTTGCTTGTTCTAATTTACTTTTCAAGGTTGATGATCAGGATCATTATGTGGCTTGCAGAACTATTTCTATTAACTTGATCCAGTCATTCCTCTTGTTCTCATCATATTTAGTTTCCCTGGCAGCTTTAAGTGAATCAGAAGTGCCACTGGTGCTACAGTTCTATAGTTTCATATACAAAGTGAATTCCTATATCCTTTAGAAACAAATCTGTCATACTCATTGAGAAAGTATGGGTTCTTTGAAATGAGTGACTCAGATACGAAACCTTTGCCTTTTGTTCTTCAAATAGAAATACTCTTTCTGGTTAGTGGACCTATGCAACAATAATACCAAAGCATTATCTGTTCAACCTTAACTTTGTTTAAAGAAATTCTAAGTAGCCTCGTGTTTTGAGCTTGAACACAATCATCACTCATCAACAAGATTAAGAAATAAAACTCAGGTAATTTTTAAAATTTACATGATGCATACTGGAAAAGGCTTATTTTATTTCAATGTATAATATTCTAATAATGTAATGGGAAATAATCAAGTTATTCTCCACATTTTCAATAAATTTCAAAATCGCTGAATGTTTTCCCAATCTGCTTTCTGTGAGGGAATGTGTATTACTATAGTTCTAACATTTAAAGAGTGCCAGCTAAGTGATTTGGAAAATTCAATGGTATTACATTCTTCACACTAAACAAAACTATAAAACTGGCAAAGAAAAGAAACTCTTACTTCAATCACTGGCAAATTAACAAAGTTAACAATATAAATAAAATGGATCACACTTACCAGGCTTTGCTTCTAAAAGGGAAAAATCACAGGGTTTAAAAATATAGTCATTAGTTATCTCTTTATATAACCTGCAGAGGGCACTAAAGTCCCTTGAAAGAAAAAGTAAAAAATTTAAGAGGGATAACAATAATTTTTCATTTTTATTTATTAGTAGTATGTTAACTAAATAACCTTTTTTTTCACAGAAACTATCATTTAAAGAGAAGACATTTAAAGGAAACATAGTTTGATTTTAAATGTTTAATGGAGTATTAAGATATACAAATTTTCACGTCCTACTGGAAAAACAATTCAGCAGGTGGTTTCCACCCCAGGGCATCCGTCAATATGTAAATGCTGTGCATCATATATTAACACCACACTACCATCAATTACACAGATTGGCCAGGGCCTGAGAAAAGTCAACCTGGACCTCAAAGTAACCTGCTTACAAAGCAGTAAATTAGTAATACAGATAAGGCATTGCATTGCTCCAGGCTATATACAGACGATAATGTTATCATATCCATAAAACTGTTGTTGAAAAAAAACCTAGAAGCTAGCTGAAAAGCTTTCAACTCATAAGAGTTTTAACCATTTTATAAGAGTAACCTCAAGAGTTCTTTGGTAATATTCATTTTATGCACCTCCTCATTACTACTGACTAACATTGTGTTTGCAGGGAGGACATTTGAATATTTAACTTTAAATATTCTTCTTCCTCTGACATAATGAAATATTTCATAGGGAAACCCACCAAGTTGTACACACTAACATAAAACATTATATAAATACCCACACACATACATCTATGCTTTACATAAATATATTTTCTCTGATAGCATATTTCAAGATATATTGCAACATTTTATTAACTAAAAATTTACTGCACAGAGTAAGTTAATTATTAAAAATACTAGTTTCTTAGCAACATGGCCAGGGGATCCTGCCTTCCATCTTATATTTTTTCTGATCCTCAATTTTACCATGGTTAAGTAACTTGCTATCAAAAGATATTTAGAAACATTTTGGTTACTAAATTCAAACTAGAGATGTTCATTTGGCATAAACATAAGTTAGATATGCATTTATTTGAGTCACTGTTTCAATTTAGAAATTGGATCACAAAAAGTTTGAGCCAAAAAAAAGGTATAAGAAAATTATCCAAATACATAACTTGCAAACTGATACTAGAATAATGAACAATTACAAAGCATTAAAAAATGCTGTCTATAATAATAAAACTAGTCAAGAAACACATCTTACAATTTTATTCTTCAAATATTGTGCAAAATTTCATAGAATATTTCAAACTTTAAAGTTATGGAGGAAGGGTACCCAGTTAAATGAGAAAAAGGCAGAAAAAAATAGTAAACAGTACTGTCGAAATGGTTATTTTGATAACTTAAAATAATCAGTTTGAAGTATTTTTGTAATGGTACTTTTATGAAAAAAATCTTGATTCATCATGGGAACAAAACAAGCTCTTTTTCAAGAAAGGACAAAGTTAAATAAAGCTTTGAAATCACAAGTCTTAAGATGAATAATTGTGTACTGCGACATGTTTTCCCAAATTGGATTTCTTTACCACATACCATGACATTTTTTAATGGAGGCGGATGGGGAGAAACTGTGCAGTTGAATAAAATAGAAGCATTTTCTCAGCGTAAGTTGTAGCTTTGATTTTTGGGTTATCTCAGGGCCAATAAATATACACTCTAGTATATGAAACAAAACTAGAAGATATACTTAAATTGTAGTCTTTGTTTCTTCAAAGCCTATGTTTTCTAAAATCATTGTTAGGCAAAGTAAAAAGAAATGTTTGTTCTATTACATAAGAACTAAACTTCATTTGGTATTCAATTGACTTTCTAACTTAGCAGACAGGACTTTTACATCTTCAAATACTGAAAATAAATTGCATTCTTGGCCCTTGCTTTAAAAGGTTATAGAGAATAAACGCACACCCTGGTAGTGTTCTAGTGATCTCCCTAATCTCAGTTGCACTTTGTCAGAACGAGGTAACTGGTAGTTAAGTGAAATACCCTAGATCAAAGGGGGATTAATCACCAACTGAATCCTTGCTGAATAAACCTGTCATTCAAGAAAATTATTTCCACTGAACTTAGCAGAGGATTGAAGGTATTTGCATAACAGGGACCTACGTACTTCAGCCAGGTTAAAAGGTTCAGAATTCATCCCATGTTTAGCTTTTTGCCTCCTTTTCCTTTCAGCAGCCTGGTACAATGGTTTCTAATCTGATAATACAGCTAACTATCTAAATGATGTCAGAACAGGAAAGTATTGCAAAGTTTGGATGAGGGATGGATCAATTTCACTTTCAGTAACTCCTAAATCTGATTTGTTGGAATTTAAGATGTAATCCTAAAAAAGTCCCTTAAACCTGAGAACTGTTTATTAACATCCCTTTTCTGACCTTTGTCTTAGAAACAACCATTCTGCTGTGGCAGCGGTCCCTGCAGAGACTCTGGATGATAACTCGACCTACCTTCCTCCCAGGGGTGGTGCAGGAGTCCATGAATATCTATAAAGGATTCTGAAATACTATAATAAAAACTAGAAGAAAAATACTAGTAGTTGTTCTATGTATTAAATTGTGCTTTGAAATATCTTAAATCATACAATGTATATATAAAACCACAATTTTAACTCACTGAAAATATTGAGTTGGTGTGAAAAAATTAATTTTGTAAGACTAATGCTTAATTAAAAATTTTTTTAAAAATTTAAGAATTCCTGATAAGGCTATTTACTTCAAACCTGACATTTGAATCAATTATTTAAAAAGTAAAAGGTAAAAAATGCCCACCACTGTAAGGGGATTGTCTTACACTGTTAAGGGTACTGCTGACTTTAAGAAGTTTGAGTACATTTTCAGAAATCTAACACTTTTTGTACATTTTGGATCTACTGAAGAATAATTACCCATATGATAGACATCAGATTTCATAATCATATTTTGGCACTAAAGGGAATTTAGCAATTTTGCATCCAGCGGTCTGACACCATCCAAACCTTTAACTGGAAGTAGGTGCTCATATTCAGTGCAAACACACAGCATCTTTCAAGTTAAAAAATGCAAAGAATAGTTATCAAAGAAAATGAATAAAATCCATAGCGAGATAATATTTTAGAAAATGATTGAAGTTTTAACCCAAGAAAGGACTCTTAGAGTGTCTTATAGCTTAGAATAAGAACATGTCAATCACGATTAAGCTTCTGGAATCGGAATCCCTTTGAAATGCAGCTGTTTCTTCTTTAATTGTGGCAGCGGACTCTGAAGAAAAGAAAGGTCCAGCCTTAAAGATGAGTAAGGAATACAAAATAGCTCAGGATTAGTTGTGGAGTTCAAAGGTCGCTAATTACACTAAGGAGTTCCCAGACACAGAGAAAACATTAAACAGGTCACCTACCAAACGGGAAACAGACTTTGTCTTCAGAAATTATCCTGAAGTGACAGGTTTCTAGACAAAATCAAAGCATCACAGTGTGCCCAGCTGATCTCAACAGGATGAAAACATGAGTTAGTTTTAGCTCTGTAGCGTTATGTTAGAATGCAATGGCAACAGATGGCATCAGGTTCCCCATTGTCCCTACACTTTTCCAGTACTCCTTAGATTTTCCTCAGGTTTCTAGAAATGTCAGATCAAAGATTCATTGGTTTTTACGATTGCTTATAAAGTTTTGCCTAGGGGATTATTACACTGAATCTCAGCCTACTCACTAGATAAATGCCTCTTCCCTATTTTAGTATACTTTGCTAAACACTTATACAATCAAGATGTACAAATGGCTCCGTTAATATAAGTGAAATGTTAAGCTTTCCTTGTGTTTAAGAGAGATCAAAAAACTTAAAGGGAATGATTTTTTTCTTTTTTCAAAAGGAACGTTTTTACTACTGATTATCTATGATTAACCTAGAACAACAAGCTAAAGTCCTGGTCTGGAAGTTACTCTGTTTTCTTCATTACTTGGGATAATTTTGAACATAGAACATTATGCCATGATAATGTCTTGCAGAAAATGAGTTTATGAGTAGGATTGACCTTAATTTTAAAAAATTACATTTCAAATCCTAAATTTCTATGCAATCTCCTTTCAAACTACCATAGCTCTCTTTCAAGAAGTTAGCAGCTTTTTCTAAGCTTTTCCTTAAGAGACTCATAAAAAAAAGAAACCAAGATATAATTTAATTGACTATTAATCTGTAATGCGTATTTTTTTTATATAACTCTTCTAATTCTGTTCTGTAAAAAGAAACTTGACATGGCATAGGTTTTGAGGTTCTTGAGATTTCATCTTTTCTTGAATGGTCATTTAAAGTCCAACTTGACAATGAACTACTTTGAAAACAGAACGTGACAAATAATTGTAAAGACAGGTAGAGAATAAAGAGTATGTATGACTGGATGGTTCCTGAAGAAACCCAGAGCATGCCAATAAGGAAGCAAGGGTGACAAATTTAAAGAAAATGTGCTACATGAAACTGAAATAAGATTTAAGTGATACTCTCTACCCATAAAATAGCTTTTGATTTTTACCTGAATTCATTCATTAATGAATTATAATAAAACAGGAAAAGACCGATATTATATCTAAATTTATATTTAAAAATTTGGCTGCAGATATTCAGTAATCACAAAACACTATGCTCATCTTCTGAAGGTATCCCACTCCTCTTAATATGCTTACTAAACAAAATGTTATTGTGGCAGATTAATAAGCTTGCCTGAAAAGTAACTCCAGAACAGAGAAAAACAAAATAGAATTATGCAGATTCTTTATTAGTCAGTAGGATAGTTCTGATTAAAAACACGTTACTATTTAAACAATTTTCTTTCATTTTCATCAGCTGTTTTCTCAAGAGATTTACAAAGTTGTTCCTAATGTGGTCTCTGGTATTCTGTAACAACACATCGTACTAGCACTTAGCACTTAGGTTTGGAAGAGCAAATAGTTTTTTATCTTGCACGTCATCTACAATCTATTGGGAGTAGCTGCCTGCAGCTCTGCACTGAGGAGCCTAAGCCCATATCCAGGAAGGCTCAGTGGAGAAAGAGGACTGTGACTGATTAGCCATGTCTGCCACAGGGGCAGGAAGAAACATGTATGGCAGGGCAACCCAAGACTAGTCTACAATAAGCTGAAAGTGAATCACTACATTTTATGCTCTGAAATCATACTTGAGTAAAATCAAAGGGTAATGAAATTGGATACATTAGTCTTTAAAATGTTCTTTCAAACTAGATCAGACTAAAAACATTGAACAAGAGCATTTTGTAATTAAATCAATGATTTTCACTCATAGGTTATATGCATACACCTTAAAAATAAAAGACGGTGATTTAATTTATGTTACTATTATATAAATCCCATTTAAACATGAGACAATTACAGTAATAATGATCCATATGTTACTGGAGCAGGAGCTTTAGAATTCCAGATGTAATAGTCAGAAGAAATTAGTTTCCGGTCTAAAAAAAAAAAATGATAAGATTATATTATCTTAAAAATTCAATGAGAAAGCAAAGTCATGATATTTAAAATTGTGGAACACAATTATTTCAAAGAAGGCAATACTTTGAGATATCCATTTCAATTCAATTTTTATCAAGGCATTATTATAACTTTCACCACTTTAAAAATATGGCTTCATTAAATACACGAATAATCCATCTTTTAGCTTATACATGCCAAAATCCCTCATGCCAAATCTACTAATTTTTTTCTCACATCTTCCCTAAATTCTTTTTATTATAGACCATTACTTCAGCTACAAAAACATTAAAAATAGTTTTATTGTTACCCGTCTGTAACCTCTTCACCACAGTTCTGATTCTGATCTTGCTATTCTTTATGCATTCAAAGTTTCAGAGATGGAAATACACACCCAACTTTCTAGTAACGTTTTAAAAAGGTTGCTTCAGTGGTTTCTTATTGTTCTGATCAAATTTAAGGTTTCTGTTTTAAGAGCTTTGGACAAATGAAAACCTCTTTAAAGTTTTCTGATATGTAAAACTGAGATGATAATGCTCATTTGGAGCTAGACATGTGTAAGTTCTTATTCCATACATCTCTATGTATCCAATTCTGCCTTTTATACCTTCTTCATAATGAAAAGGATAGAGGTAGGATGTATTACTTCATTGCCTTTTTGTTGTTGTTTGTTCAGTTTGAGAACCTAGTAACATTGAGAGGCAACATAGCATACTGGTTAAGTGGTCAGGGTCTAGAGACAGACTGCTTGGCTTTGAGTCCAGTTCTGCCATTTACTAACTATGTGACCCTATTCTCTCTGTTCTGTCAACATCCTCATCTGTAAAATGGAGATAACAACACTTACGTAGGGTGCTGTAAGGATTAATGAGTTAGCACACATTACATACTCAGAACTGTGCCTGGCACATAGTAAGCAATAAACATCAGCTATTATTATTTAAATTAAGATTATTAGCATTATTAAACTATTTTCAGAACTAAGTTGTATATTATGAATATAGATTTTATTGTCAAGATGATGGCAAAATAAAGGTTTTTACATAGTTGCATGAAGTGATAGTTATGCTCTGAAACTAACAGAAGAAGGAAATAAAAGATTGGTCATAATTATGCATTTAAAGTGACCTCTTTCATTCATATATTAAGAAGCAAGTGAATTACTGAAACATCCCATTCTGTATTATAATCTCTGAAAATTACTACAATATGTTTAGTTAATATTAATAAGATACAATATTTTAAACATTATCTAAAGAGACAACATATTTCCCATAAACAACCTAAAATACTGGTCTGTTTGCATTTAGACAAAACTGCTGGTTTGTCCAAACTAACAACTGTATTGTGCCTTCATTTAAAAAAAAAAAAAAAAAAGCATTATGAAGACTCTTACATATACACGAATTTCTCTAAAAAGCAACGAAAAAATGATGTAGGAGAAAGCACAGGGATGTGTGGAGGTAAAGAATATGGCTTATTCTGGTTATATTACATAGAATATATTATTGCCATTCACAGGTAATTCCTTAGAATTCAGTAGTTCTGAGTTCTGTAATTCTTTAGAAACTTTCAAGTACAAAGTCTTGTCTTATCCTTCCTAGGGACCCTAACCCTTAGTTTAAGAAATACTTACCTAAATAGCTTTATTCCCCTTAATATATGAGGCAAAAATGTTGCTGCTTACGTTTATCTAACTCTACCTCATTCTAGCTACTTTTTTGTTCTATGCCACATATCTATATTTGATCTGAATTAAATAATTTTGAATTCATCTACAAATTGCTCTGTTTCCCCTCCCTATATTTCCATTTGTACTATATGTGTGTGTGTGTGTGTGTGTGTGTATATACACACACACACACACACACACACACACACACATTTCTCTTACCCTCCTTTTGGTAAAACAGAGTACTAAATAATGCTCATTGACTACAACATTTGCTAAAAATATTTAAAATTTTAAGTAATAATCATACTTAACATTTATTGAATCCATCCCACATGCTAAGCATTAATGCTAAGTGCATGGTTGATATGATTTTATTTAAACCTCCTAACAACCCTGAGGTAAATAATACTACTAATTCCGTTTTATATATGAGGAAACTAAATAAGAAGTTCACTAACTTGCCCAAGAGTAAAAGAGTAAATTATAAGCAGAGCAAAGCAAATCCAACTTTATTTATTTATTTTTTTGTACGCGGGCCTCTCACTGTTGTGGCGTCTCCCGTTGCAGAGCACAGGCTCCAGACGCGCAGGCTCAGCGGCCATGGCCCATGGGCCCAGCCGCTCCGCGGAATGCGGGATCCTCCCGGACCGGGGAATGAACCCGCGTCCCCCTCATCGGCAGGCGGACTCTCAATCACTGCGCCACCAGGGAAGCCCCAAATCCAACTTTAGACTAGAGCCCACCTCTATGTCAATCCTTGCTCATCCAGACCACTTTACAAATAGGAGAAGGCAGAGGGCAATGTACATAAACTGTTACACAGGATGGATTAGGCCAGAATTTTTATAAATCGGTATTATTCTCTGATCTTTTTCTGTCATATTTTAATTTTATCTTAGTTAATAATAACATAACACCACTTTAGTTACCTTAAGTTAGTTTGAATCTATACAACTTACATGTACTTATTTTTGGTTTTCCTGATGCAAAAACTTGAACTGAATGCTGATCCGCATAACACCCAGTGAGTGTGTAATCTAAGATCCTAAAATGAAGCTAGAACAAGAAGAGAAATGTACCAAATTAAGGTGATTATTTGGTAAAAATGATGGTCACATTTTTTTCCCTTGACACAAGTTTAGGAATTTATTTCACAGAGTTCACAAAATAAAAATCACAAATAATGCTGTGTGTGTTTGCGTGGGAGTGCACATATTCACACATATATACTCACCTTTCCCTTCTGCATTAGGGTTGTTTCTTTGTAAGGCTGCCATTATGAAGTGCTTAACACATACCAGGCCCTTCACTAATATAAACTCTAATCTGCACTGCAAGGTATCCCTATTTTACACATGAGGGAACTGAGGTTCAGAGATGGAAACACTTAGCGTCCCAGTAGGTAAGTAGTAGAGCTGGCATTTGAACTCAGACCTGCCTGACTACAAAAGCTGGTGCTCCTTCCCCTATGGTGTTTGGTGTTCTGTATGTTCTCTCCTATCTCTAAGGCTATGTGGCTGTGATAGATTTCAGATCATAATTCTTTTATACACCTTTTAGCAGAACACAATAAAGTAATTACTAAAACAGAAACACCAGTTTATCTGGTGTTTGGAGGGAATGAAACGCTCTACTTAATTTTTCAGAAAACTAAAATTTAACTTTTACATAACTAACCTTTCTAAAATGTAATGAATGTAATGAATGAATGTAAGTTCCTGGATTTAATTGATAATGTGGTGATATCAGTATAAATGCCAATTAATATATTGGGCTATAATAGAGAGGGCCATTAGTACCTTCTCTGAAGACATAGTGCTGGGCTGTCTCTGAGCCATAATGATATTCACATGAACCATGAAAGGTCTATTCTTACAGAACTCCTGCCTCCTTTTGCTGTGATTCTCATCTTTGCTGCTAAAAGCTTTTGATTTGGCAATATCCTGATAGCTTTTCTATACTTTTTTTCTTCCTTCTCCCTTCCCTGCAAATTTCTCTCTTTTCCTTTCTCCTTTTGATTGCCAAACTAACTGATCACAGACATAGATGTAATTTTCAGATCTTCTCAGCAATTTCTTCCCTATTGCAACTCAAATTATCTAATAGTAAAGGGCTTTTGCTTGCTTGTTTGGTATAATTCTGGATGCTCGAAGTTATGACAAGGTTGATTTCCACACAACTAGATATTATAAAAATAAATCTATTCATTAAACACAAATACGTACTACACGCTTTTGATGCGGCTATAACTGGTTAGGTGATGAAAATGAATAGAAGAGTCATAATCCCTACCTTTGAAAAACATATAGTATAGTAACATCTCACATTTTTTTCTGAAAAACATCTGGAAGAGGGAATTTCTATAATAATCGTTGAAACAAAGCTCATAGACATAGTTGAAGCCAATACAGAAGAAATGAATATCACTAGTGTACTTCTGACTTCACTACCATTTCCCCTATTTGCTTTTACATATAGATTTCAATCTCTCTTTGATTTCTTTGATACTACTCTATTTAGGTTTTCCTGCTACCTTTCTGATCGCATTTTCACTTTCCCTCACTGATTCTTTTGAACCTTCCTCCTATTTTCTCTTATCTTTTTCTGACCTTATTCATTTCTACTGCCTCAACTATTTCTTCTCCATGGATAACTCCTAGATCCTAAGAACAGTTGAGCTTTCTCTTGAGAATCAAGCTTTGGGTTTTAAGCCACCTACTGGACACCTATACTGGGGTAAATTGCTATTACCAGCAACATATGTGATATGAAGCCCACTCCCTCCCAAATTTCTCCACATTTCTTCTAAGATACAGAACTTTCTTCTAAGTATGTACATCCATTCATCAAATATTTATGTGCTAGGTACTGAACTAGATGTTGGGAATAAAACAATGAATGAATGAGATTCACACGGTCTTTGCCCTCCTGGAGCTTCAAGTCTGGTCTAAGTCACAATTTTTTAATGACATCATCTTTGACTTAAAACTATTTCTTATCTTTCTACTTAATTAGTGAGATTAAAGGCTATACCTTTATCACAGCTCTATTCCTTTTTCTCCCTTCCTTTCTCTTTCTGTGACACTACACTAGTTCAGCATTATTAACTTACTACCTTTCAGCTGGAATACTAATATAGCTAAAAAATAGTTTCTTTGTCTCTAGTTTTTTTCTTCACTCACCTTCCTCACATCCATTTCAGATTGATCCTCATAAAGTATCACTTTCTGGAGGACCACTCTCGTACTCAAAGAAAGTATAACATTTTCTAACAAAGCAATGAAAGCCAGATTCAAATCCTCTACAATCCAGACCTAAATCACTTATTCAGACTTCTGTGTGACTACTGTTTCTAGCACTGGTTCCTAAACATGCCTTGTTATCCTTCATTCCTGTGATTAAGTCATTTCTTCACCTATACAAACAAGAGTTAATATTCAAGGCTTCATATCGATGCTTACCTGAGCCTCAGAGTTTTGCCTAAACTCCATCTCTACTACAAAGATTTCCTTGATCACTTTGGTTGGAAGTGCTCAGTCTTTTTTTTGAAAGACCAAAAGCAGTCAGTCCTGATCAGTTACTGACATGCATCATTGAAAAATCCCTAGAGGGCAAAGACTACATCTTACATTCTTTTTATACAAATCTAAAATGTGATATCTAAGAGCTGTGTAGAACTAGGTTAAGTTGAGGTATTTAGGTTTTACATAATTCTTTCACCTTAAAAATTTTAAAGTATTAAGTGAAATAGAAAGTGATTATTAAACAAAAAGAATCTTACTAAAATCTAACAGAGGACTTAGACAAAAAGAACAGAACTCCAAAAACAAAAAAATGTTAGGAAACATTAAAAATCAATTATATGCAATTTGGAACAAAAGGAAAGGCTTCTAATGTAGTGAGCCATATAAATATATTTACCTTTAAATACGCTGTGCCTCCAATGCAAATCTGGTCAAATGGCTGCTTTTCATGGCTCTTGGCTCCAAAAGTTACAGTTCCAGAAAGACTAATTTCCATTGATTTTGGGAACTTCTGTCCTAAAAACAGAAATACATCAATCAACTATTATAAATTAAATAGATTCTACAGCAAATGAATGAAAAAAAAATAAACAAAACCTAGTTTACCAATATTCCAGATCAATAAGCTTTTCTCTCGAAATACTTCAAGCTGGCCAAAACTAACTTTGTATTCCACATGTGTGACTGGACCTCTTTAAAAAAGAAATGGACAAAATGGAAAGAAAAAAATAATCATAGATATAACAGTTTAAAGAGATTTAAGTCAAATCTTGCTATTGTTACTTAATACAAGGACAACATAAAAGCAGATCTGTATTCAAGTTTGCAGAATAGAGTAGAATAAATAATGAATATTATATCTCAGAAAACACAGAAACACTATAAACATTTTTTTGGTGATGCTATACATTTCATTATTAATTCTAAAGATAACTACAAAGTCATGCAGAATGTATTAATACAGGCACATAGATTGACGTAACATTAAAACTGTGATTTTACTATATATTCATGTATCCTTTGAAAAGAACTATTCTGTAGGACAAACTTAAAAGTAGAACTGATAAGGAAGTAATCTTATGATATTAATTCACCAGGTTTTCTAGTTGGGCTTGATCTGTATGTTGAGTACAGAAAATTGTTAGAAATAAAGCCAGTAGTAAAATAAACCCTGAAGAAGCTACACTGGCTGAAGTTTATAATTTACTAGCAAGTAGTTTAACCAGAAAAATGACGATATTTAAAAATAAAGAGATTATTTTTATGACAATGTTTTGGTTAAGAATCAGCATACATTTGAATAACATAAAATTTTTAAATCTTAAAAATAAGGTAAAAACCAAGACAATTTATTATAGGGCAGTGGGAATGTACTAAAGAAGGCAGAGATCATGGCATTATGTTACTTTATTCCTACCTGTTGTAAAAAGGTATACGAGCTTCACAGAATTCAAAACTATTTTTCACACTTTCATGAAGTTTTAAATTAACTGTTATTTTTAGTTGTACTTCTTCCTCTTTTACTTGATAAAAACCCAAAATTGGTGGCACAGGGACCTGGAAACAAACATAAACACATTTTTATATAATTCTCAGGTTAATGGGTCTAAAATATCAGTGGTGATGGAGAAAAAAGGCTTGCAGTAATATAGTCATTATATACAGATATGACTTTAATGACTAATGGGTTACTCCAAGTTATTTTGATAATAGATGATGAAGCTACATTCCTTCTAAGGTCAGGGATTCTTGCATCTCTTTCTATTTCCAGAGGTGAGAAAGGTGCCTTACAGAGGTGTGTGATACATTCTTTTTCCTACTCCTGCTTGTTCAGATTCCCTTCCTCCAGGGTCTCTATAACCTGCAACACAGAACGTGCACTAGACATACTGATCACTGACACCCACCCACAGTTTCTGCTGCCCTGCTTGTAGCTTGACTCCCCAACCCTCCCAAATCAGCAGTAGTTTAATGGGTCATCAATAACTGATTGAAGCGAAACAATCTGAATCTTCTGGTAAATAACTCATGAAAAGTTCTTGTTTGGACCAAAAGTATGGATGATTTGCTTACAACAGAATTCATAAATATGAAGATTAGCAAAGTCCCAACTTCTCCAAGGTTGTTTACCTGAGAAGTGTAGTAGCATAAGTTGAATGACTCTAAAGGTGGAGTGAGTGGAAATTTGTAAGGCCCACTAAATGCAGAATCATCTGCTGCATCAATGCTACTAGAAGTCAGAATGGCAGAGTCGAGAGATGTCACACAAGGATGAACCAGAATATCCTGAAGTGGAGATCCATTGGTGGGGAGACTCAAGCTGATGGTAACATTTGGCATACTTCCTTCTAAATCACACTGCAACACAAACAAACAGATATTACCAAGATCTTTGAAGCATACATCTTTTGAATGAGGCCTTTCTTAATTTATCTGAGTCACTTTCCACAACTTAATTCACTTTTCTCTCAAGGTATTATTCTCATTGCTTTCTGTGTTCTGGTTAATGATTCTATCATGCTCTCAGACACCCAAGCCAGAGACCAGGAGAGCCTTCCTAGAGCCCTCTGCTTACATTTAAAACCCTTAAAAAGCAACTTTTCTTCATTCCTGTTACACTGGTACAGGCCCTTACAATTTCTGTCATAGCCCTCTAAGTGTATCTAGACTCACTTTCCCCTAATCAATCCATCCTTCATCAATGCTAGAGCTATCTTGAGCTATCTTAATAAAACATAATTCTAATTATATTGTATCCATGTCAAAACCTCTCAATAGTTCCCCCTCAGTTTTGTATTACTTTTAAAGCCTTTTGCTGTTTGGTTCCCATCTACCTCTTTAATCATTTTCTACCCTGCAAGTAATGCTGGAGACACATTGGGGACTGTCAGAGGATCAGAGACTTATTCTCCCAGCTCCTCTTATCCGTGAGTAAGCCCTCATTCCTATACTAAACACCTTTACTCCCATAAATCTGTAGTGGCTCTTTTTCTCACCCAGCCAGATTGATATACCTTACTTGGGTGTGTGCTGGGGGCCGGGGGCGGGGGGCGGTGGGCGGTCAGGCTCTTCCTTTATAACTCAAACTTGACATTTACCTCTATTAAAGCACCCAATTACAACTGTCCAATTGAGGCATATAAGGCTTACTGATAACTTTTGTTTGGCTAGACTTGTACAATATTTTAAGAGTTGGTGGAACTCAGTAGGTATAATGCTTAGCTCCAAGTGCAAGCAGCTAGTTCCACTATCATATACATAGTCTGCATTATGCATTAACTGCCCGCTCTCTAGAGGTGAGATCAAATGTCTGTGCCCCTGTTTGTTTCCTTCTTTAAGCTTTAAGTTTTTGAAAGCAAGAATTATTATATTTTTCTTTGTATCTCTAGTGCCCAGTACATTGCTAAGTATAAGAGATACTCCAGGGACTTCCCTTGTGGTGAAGTGGTTAAGAATCCGCCTGCCAATGCAGGGGACATGAGTTCGAGCCCTGGTCTGGGAAGGTCCCACATGCCGCGGAGCAACTAAGCCCGTGTGGCACAACTACTGAGCCTGCACTCTAGAGCTCGTGAGACACAACTACTGAAGCCCACAAGCCATGACTACTGAAGCCCGCGTGCCACAACTACTGAAGCCTGCACGCCTAGAGCTCATGCTCCACAACAACAGAAGCCACCGTGAGGAGAAGCCCACGCACCGCAACGAAGAGTAGGTCCCGCCCTCTGCAACAAGAGAAAGCCCATGTGCAGCAACAAAGACCCAACGCAGCCAGAGATACTCCAATAATGTTTGCTGAATGGATATCTTTTTATAATTATGAACCGTACCTTTGGTTCGCAATTTTAATAGGAAATGTTTTATATTTTTATCTACCACTTGACATATGTGTGAATTCATGAATATATCTGCTGTATAATGCAAGCATTTAGAGAGCAGGCAGGCATTATGAACAGTACCATGTATAATTAGTGACTTATAAAGGTCTTTCAGTGATAGTTAGAATAACGTCAATCCCATTTGATAATAAAAATGCCAAATAACTACTATGAAACTTAAGAACATTTTAGTATTTTCAACTTTAAATCATCTGCTACTTCACTCTCTATATGTAGATAGCAAGAATTTAAGAAAAAAGTTTTATTTTTTGGCAGATATTTATGGAGATAATATATGAACAAATATTAGTAGCAAATAGTATCAACATTTTAAAATATTCGGTTTATACTTATTATCCTCTAACACTCTAACATAATTAAAGGAATCAGAGAAACAGCAACCATTATGGAAATAACCAAGAAATTATCTGCTGTCTAGGCATCTGAAATACCAGAGCACTAGCCATTCACTACGGGATGAGGACATCCATTCTAGAAGAAATCTGTATACTACCTTTTAAACCAATCTGGCATATGTAGATCTGGACTTTTAATTAGGAATTATACAAACAGAAGCAACCTAGGTCCTTATCTAATTTTAAAAATGAGAAAAGAGGGCTTCCCTGGTGGCGCAGTGGTTGAGAGTCCGCCTGCTGATGCAGGGGACAGGGGTTCGTGCCCCGGTCTGGGAAGATCCCACATGCCATGGAGTGGCTAGGCCCATGAGCCATGGCCGCTGAGCCTGCGCGTCCGGAGCCTGTGCTCCGCAACGGGAGAGGCCACAACAGTGAGAGGCCCGCGTACCGCAAAAAAAAAAAAAAAAAAAAAAGAGAAAAGATTGAAAAAATTGTGTAAGTCTTCCAAAGAGACAGAGAAATTAGTGGTGGAATGAGGATTAGAACTTCAGTCCACTGGCTTTTGGTTCACCAGGTTTCCTACTAGGATTGAGATAAAATGAAGATAATTATTTCCATTTACAATAGGCTTCATAATAAAACTCCTTTAAATACTTTAAAAATGGTTTGGCTAACAGTTATACTATTTACATACAACCCTAAAGAAACATTTAGTTCATGAGTTTCAGTATACCCTCACTATTTTTATTTTTAGAAAAAAGTTTTTTAAAGATGAAAGTTTCCCATAATGATCATTTGTATTAGACCAAGAATAGGAGCCAATCTAAAATTCCCAGAAGCAATAAACTAGGGTCAGCCTATCAATGAGCTGAGATATTTAAATAGCATAATATTAATTAGTATTAAATTATATATAACATATTCCCTGTTCATTACTACAGAATGAAAAACAGAGACAGTGAATTTTCCTACTTGTATTTTACAGAACTTACAAGAAACGTAGATTCAACTGCTTTAAGAGGTATGAATGACATAATCTGTAAACACCTTAATTTTGGAGACATTTATGATAATTATTTCTATTAAAATTAATAACTGGAATGTATTTTTTTCTTTTTTCGGTACGCAGGGCTCTCACTGTTGTGGCCTCTCCCGTTGCGGAGCACAGGCTCTGGATGCGCAGGCTCAGCGGCCATGGCTCACGGGCCCAGCCGCTCCGCGGCATGTGGGATCTTCCCAGACCGGGGCATGAACCCGTGTCCCCTGCATCGGCAGGCGGACTCTCAACCACTGTGTCACCAAGGAAGCCCTGGAATGTATTTTTGATCGTAATAGAAGTGAGTTTAAAACAGGCACATAAATTTTTAGGTCACTTTAAGGTTAAAAAGGAAAAAAAAAGACCCAATTTGTCTGCCAGGACTCTTCTCATTCTCTGTTCTTGAAATCTACTTTTATCTATTGGATTTGCACTTAACTACTCAACATTGATATGATATATAAAAAGTTTATATTAATAAGTGCAGAAAATAAAGGAAGATAACAGAAAAACAGACACCTGAGAATATTAATATGTACTTGTAGACATTCTCTTGGAGGGGCTCTATTTTTGATCATTATTGAATGTGGCACTGATCACTGCTAACTGTATTGTTATTTTCATTGCTTTTTCCTATTACCTAACCTTAAACCACAGAACCCTATATTAACCTAGTGACTTGTTTAAATAAAACGTGAGCCCTTGAAAATGGCTTCAGATATTAAGTCAGAGATTTGTCAATTTCACCCCCTCTAGGAAAAATGGAAAGTAGGTATGGTGACTTTAAAATATTTTCACAAATTCTCTGACCCTACTCTTTTCAAAAGATGGAGCCTCATCCCACTCCCCTTGAACGTGGACCAGACAAAGTGACCTGCTTCTGATGAACAGAAAGTGGCAGAAGTGATACTATGTGACCTTTCAGCCTAGGTAATAAAAAGAATAGCTTTCACTTGTGCCTCATGTGGCTGGCTGTCTGTATGATCATTTGATCAAAGGGAAGGCAGTCACCAAGTTGTGAGAATATTCTTAAGCAGCCTGTTGAGAAGTCCACATGGAAAGAAACTGAGGTCTCCTACCAATAATCAGCACCAACTTGCCAGCCATGTGACTGAGTCACCTTGCAAGTAGAACTTCCAGCTCCAGTCATACCTTCAGGTGACTATAGCCCCAGCTGAACTCTTGACTGTGACAGACTTCCACACTAGAAGTTCCCAGCTAAGTTGCTCTTGAAGTCCTGACCTACAGAAACTACGAGTATAATAAATGTTTATTGGTTGTGGTAACAGGTCAATTCATTACACAGCAATGCAGTCGACCCTTGAACAATGCGAGGGTTAGGGGCACTGACCCTCTGTTCAGTCAAAATCCATGTATAAACTTTACAGTCAGCACTCTGTGTCCGAGGTTCCGCATCTGTGGATTTAGCCAACTGTAGATTCAGCCAACTGCAGGTACTATAGTACCGAATGCAGTATATATTTAGTGAAAAAAAGCCACGTAGAAGTAGACCCACGCAGTTCAAATCTGTATTGTTCAAGGGTCAAATGCATATAGCCAGTATAATTAGTAAGAAATGCAAAAAGATAACATTATAAAATTTCACGTGAACATAACATTTAATGACTGTTTATAAGAATCAAGAATGTCACATTCTGATGTAAAATAAGGTCGGCAAATTTTACTTTTCTCCATAAACGTTAAATGCTATGATAAAACAAGTACCAGAGAAAATCTCACCTTGCAAGTGACAACTCCAATGACTTGCCATGTATCTGCTATATCCTGTTTATCATATTGCATGGATTTTACCTTTTCAGTGATAGAAATAGAAACCTGTGGTTTTCCTTTGTATGTTCCAGCTTTCCAGGTCGGCTGTTTTTGTGGATGAGTAACAGAAGCAAAATTAATACTATCCAATGAATTCTGTAAGTTGGCATCTAACAAAGTGCCAAAGGGACAAGCCTGTAGAAGCAAGTCAGGCAACTGGCTCAATTTTGTATTTAGCTCACTGTCATTTTTTTGACCTGAGTAAAGAAAACCCTGTACCCCAAAAAGAAGTTCAAAGCCTTGTGAAATTCCACTAATGCTAATTAATGGTGGACGAGGGGATAAAGTTTGTTCAACCAGTGGAACACAAGCGTATATCATGCCATTCTTCATGAAAGCAACAACTGGCCAGAGTTCTTCACCTCCTATCGGGAGTGCATAAATGGATGTTTTATTGATGTGTGAACAGCTATCACGACTCTCCGAAAAGTCCTTATCATCACGCAATAATCTCAGTTCGAAAAGCAGTGCTTTAAGGAAGGGACCATCTTCAGGAACAGGCACATAACTTGCTCCATTGAAGACTTTGGCTCTTTTTTCAACAGTTGGATACCGTCTGTATTAATGGAAACAAAACCATAATTAATTCCTGCAAGTAAAATAAAACTGCAAGTTCAAAACCTAAAAACAAACACAAAACATAAGGCAAACACTAATAACAACAAAACACACAATAACAAACAAATACACACACCAACAAACAAAAACCACAACCAAAAAAATATTATATTACATGTTGAATTCTTACTAAAACAACTACCTGTTGTGTACTTGATATATCTCAAATGATAAAGTATCATTATCTATTATCTAAAAAAATTCAATTTAGTTGATTTTTTAAATAGGTAGAGTAGAGTACCTGGTTCTAATTCAAAATCCTAGTCTTTGGCCGCTCAGATTCGCACTTAAGCAAGGCGTGTATACCTGTATACATTTTAGGCATCTATAAGGACTTTTTTTTCTTTCTTATCTTTTTAAAAAAATTTACTTTTTATTTCCTCCTTTCCTTTGTTTTTTAATCACAAGGAACATCTTTCTCCCCACTCAATCCTACCTCCAGGAGTAACCACTGCCAAGGGTTTACTGTTTCATCCTTCTAGAGGGTTTTCAATGCTTTTAAAGCATAAACATAAACACACTGCCATTTTAAAAAAACAGAATAATACATTTTGCAGTGAAACTTACTTTTTACACTTTCCAAGTTAGGTCACGTAAAGCTACAGCTGCACAGTATTCCATTGGGTTAAGGACCTGAAATCTATCTGGACCCCCCATTGGTAGAAACATCACTTCTTTTGTTGTTACAGATAAGGCTGCAAAGAAGATTTTCTTGTCTTGTCTTTCCTTTCCCCTTCCTCCCTCTCCCCCCACCCCCACTTTATAATTGAGGTATAATTTAGATATAACATTATATCATTAGGTTGGTCAAAAAGTTCATTTGTTTTTTTCCATAAGATGGCTCTAGTAGTGCTTAGTTGTCTTTAACTTCAGTGTTCATTTAAAAAAAAATCAAAATTGGAGAATTTCTGTGTGGCCATTTTAATATTGAAAAAGAAAGAAAAAGCAACATTTTTAGCATATTATGCTTTATTATTTCAAGAAAGGTAAAAACACAATTAAAACGCAAAAAACAAGATTTGTGCAGTGTATGGAGAAGGTGCTGTGACTGATAGAATGTGTCAAAAATGGTTTGCAAAGTTTCATGCTAGAGATTTCCTGCTGGACGATGCTCCACCATTGGGTAGACCAGTTGAAGTGGATAGCAATCAAATCGAGACATTAACTGAGAATAGTCAATGTTATAGCACACTGGAGACAGCCGACATACTCAAAATATCCAAATCAAGTGTTGAAAATCATTTGTACCAGCTTGGTAATGTTAATCGCTTTGGTATTTGGGTTCCACGTAATTTAAGCGAAAAAAACCTTCTTGACTGTATTTCCGCATGCGATTCTCTACTGAAACATATCAAAAACGTTCTGTATTTGAAACAAATTGTGATGGGTGATGAAAAGTTGATACTGTACAATAGTTTTGGAATGGAAGAGATCGTGGGGCAACTGAAATGAACCACCACCAACCACACCAAAGGCCGGTCTTCATACAAAGAAGGTGATGTTATATATAGTGGGATTGGAAGGGAGTCCTCTATTATGAGCTCCTTCTGGAAAACCAAACAATTAATTCCAACAAGTACTGTTCCCAATTAGACCAACTGAAAGCAGCACTCCACAAAAAGCATCCAGAATTAGTCAACAGAAAACTAATCTTCCATCAGGATAACGCAAGACCGCGTGTTTCTTTGATGACCAGGCAAAAACTGTTATAGCTTGGCTGGGAAGTTCCGATTCATCCGCTGTATTCACCAGACATTTCCAGGATTTCCATTTATTTCCGTCTTTACAAAATTCTCTTAATGGAAAAAATTTAAATTCCCTGGAAGACTGTAAAAGGCTCCTGGAACAGTTCTTTGCTCAAAAAGATAAAAAGTTTTGGGAAGATGGAATTATGAAGCTGCTTGAAAAATGGCAGAAGGTAGTGCAACAAAACAGTGAATACCTTGTTCAATAAAGTTCTTGGTGAAAATGAAAAATGTGTCTTTTATTTTTACTTAAAAACCTAAGGAACTTTTTGGCCAACCCAATAGTTTCAGGTATGTAACATAATGATTTGATATTTGTATACATTGCAAAATGATCACCACAGTACGTCTAGTTAACATCTATCACCTTACATAGTTACAAAATTTTTTGTGTGTGTGATGAAAACTTTTCAGACTTCCTGTTGGGGCTTCCTTGGTGGTGCAGTGGTTAAGAACCTGCCTGCTAATACAGGGGACACAGATTTGAGCCCTGGTCTGGGAAGATCCCACATGCCGCAGAGCAACTAAGCCCGTGTGCCAGAACTACTGAGCCTGCGCTCTAGAGCCCGTGAGCCAGAACTACTGAGCCTACGCACCACAACTACTGAAGCCCGCGCGCTTACAGCCCATGCTCCACAACAAGGGAAGCCACCACAACGAGAAGCCCGTGCACCGCTATGAAGAGTAGCCGCAATGAAGTGCGCGCAGCAACGAAGACCCAACACAGCCAAAAATAAATAAATTAAATAAATTAAAAAAATGACTTCCTGTCTTAGCAACTTCCAAATATGCAATACAGTATAATTCAACTATAGTCACCATGCTGTATATTACATCCCTATGACTTATTTATTTTATAACTGAAAGAGTATACCTTTTGACCCTCTTCATAAATTTCTCCCACCCCACCACAGGACTTTTTTTTCTGATTCCATCTTAGTAGAGTATGATGGAAAAAAGTGGTTCAGTTTAATCCTCCACATTGTGGATTCACTAGTATCCTGAGTACACTTGGTACCCTGAGTCTTCTTGCCAACCCCTACAAAAACATGCAAGAGCATCTTAGTAATAGTGGTTTATCTCTATGGCCCTGGAAGATACTATGAGGTAACAAAAAGAATAAAATGAATAATCTTTTATGGTTTGCATGCTCTATCCTGAACAGTAAGTTACTAATTCATCCTTTTTTTGGGGAAACAGAAATTTACAAAAATGTTAGATCACATCTTCTTAATTAAAAAAGTACTTTCCCAATTCCTTATCTCTCCACTCCAAAGTCCACAACAAAGTCATTTATTTGCTATTAACTTCTGTGTAAATTGCCTAACTTTCCTAAGTCTGTCTTCTTATTTGTAAAATAAGGGAGTGGCTAAAGAACATATAAGCAATTCTCATCAAGAATCAAGAACAGACCTAGCCAAATAATGTTTTCCTACTAATTCACTAATACTACTAATAAAATATTGGTGTTTACTAATAATTCTAAAAAAGAAAAATAAGAATGTATTCAAAGTTATCCATGTATTAGTGAACCTCACTCATTTACATTCTGATGCATTTTCTTGATTGAGGAAAGGGAAGAATTAGCTAGCCCTCCAGTAATGGCCTAGCAGGTGAATGCCACTTCTTTCTCTTCGTCTTTGGATAAGGATAGTTAAAAACTCTGGACTGAACTCTAGTCCAGACTATTATCCTCTAGAGGATAATTCAAGTTCTCTTAAGTGTAAGAATTTCATGATTGAAATTGTAAAAATAAGTTTGTCTGGGATCTTATTATAGAATGTCTCAATATATGTTCAATAAATACTTTGCCGGATGACTCAACCTGTCATTTCAGAGTTATTCTAGGCCTTTTCTAAAACAGGACTTGAACTTTAAATGGCCCTGCAACTATAGGGAACAATACCAACCTAAGCTAGACTTAAGCTGGTACTGTTACTATCTATCCAGACAGCAAATCTCTAAACCAGAATCTAAATCAAGTTCTGTTGTGGGGAAAAAGTAGCTAGATAGAGGAAAGATCATTTGCATTCTTAAATCTTAAGTGATGGCCATCATCCTTTGGCAAATATGTGGATAAAAGGCCAGTGCATATCTGTTTAGCTCTAACTCTGGCCCCAGGAGGTCAGAAAACAGAAAAAAAAAATAAAACCTAACTAATTCGTTCAATGATACAGGATTAAATAAGTGGCAGATGAATTATCTGAACCCAAGTTGCTGCCTTCATAGAGATGTTGAAAAGTCCACCCAAACAAAAAGACTTTTTCTTTTGAAATATTCTGAGCACAGTGGGAAAGAACTCTGAAAACAAGCACAACTTCTTCAAGAAACTTATTATTGTACACAGTACAAAAATCTTACCTCTACGTAATATTAAAATAAGTTACAAAGCCACAGATATAAATACACTATGGTACTGGCAAAGAACAAAGTAATAGAACTGAGACAGACCAATGTTTATATGGGAGACATAATAAACTACTATCAACAGGCCCAGAAATCAATGAAGAAAATACATACTGTTTGGAAGATGATGTCAGGAAAACTGCCCCACAGCATAGAGAAAAACAAAATGAGAATACTACTTAACACCACATCCAGAGATGGACTACAGACGGATTAAAGGCCTAAATATAATAGAGAAAATTATAAAGTCAAGAGGAAATAATGTAGTAAGATATCTTCGGGAAATAAAGGTAGGAAAAGACTTCAACAAATTCCCCCAAAGGGCTAACTACTTTGACTGCAACAAAACTAGGGATTTCTGTTTAACCGAGGGTAATGAAAAGTTAATTGATAATGACAATAAGTTAAGATAAAATATCTATAATAGCTAAAAATGACATAGGACTAATATCAAGATTACGCAATGAACTCCCACAAGTTAACAAGAAAAAAACAGCAACTCTTGCAGAAAAAAACAGACAATGGATATATACAGGCAATTCACATAAGAGGAAACCCAAAGGCCATTGCTACACAGAGAAATGCAAATGAAAGTAAGGTATTCTTTACACCAGTACTGGCAAAAAGTGGAGTAAGTGTTAGGAAAGAATAGATACTGCTGATGAGAGTGTAGACTGGTCAAAGTATTCTGAGGAGCTAATTATTTGGTAATATTTAGTCAAAATCATTATAGATATGCCCCCATGTAACTGTCTGAGGTTATCTACTGCAGCACCGTTTTGATAGCTGAGTCGGGGGCAATCTGGGAGATCATCACCAGGGGAAGGGGAGATGTAAAATGTGACAGATGTAAACCATGGAGTACTACAGAGCAAGTAGATTCAATGGCCTAGATTTGCACTATCCAGTATAGTAGCTGCTAGCCATACATGGCTATTTAAACTTAAAATGAAACACAATTAAAAACTGAGTTCCTCAGTTACAATAACCACATTTCAAAAACTCAACAACTACATGTGGCCAGTAGCTGCAATATTAGACAGTATAGATTTAGAACATCTCCCATTTCCATCACTGAAGAAAATTCTACTGGACAGTGTTGCCCTAGATGAACACAAAGTAACCTGGATGTTTCCTAAAAATAGTGCTGAGAAATCTGACAAGCGTAAGAAAAGGGAATGACATCTGTAGCGCACTTAATTGTATAATTTGAAAAATATATACACAAACACACAAACAAAAGGATAAAGATACCAAAGGGAATATATAAGTAAAGCAGGAGTACCTAGGATGGATGGACCAATAAGGCTGATGAACCATATTGAAGATTATTAATCTCCTGAGGTACAACAAGAAGAACAACAAATGTAAGCCAGGTATCCCAGAGAAAATGGTAAACTCCAAGGCTCGATGCCTTCAGTAACAAAAATTGTTAAGGTAGGAAAGAGGGAATTTTTCATATCCACATTGCCTACCACTTTTCCTTAAAATTACACTCATCTTTGTCAGCCTCAATCTGGATTCAGAACTAGCTACTTCACTACAGAGCTTTTCTCAGGGAAGAACGAATGTTTGCAAGAAAGAACTGTCCACCACTGAGAACAAAAGGTGAAACAGATCACTCAATTGCCACCCATATTTTACAGTGAGTTACTGTATATTCTCTTCACAGAGCTACTTTGATAAAACGTGGCAAATTCTAAAAGTGGAACCAGATCAGCTCACACCATTTTAAAAAAGTGAATTCAGTTTAATTTTTTGTACTTTTGCAATTTTCTTCAACAATTAGGAACTTTAAAGTAAACTATCTGAGAATTTCTGGGAATGAAAAATAATTATAAGCTGAAAGTAACAGCCTGATACTGCTCAGCAAGAACTTTCCATAAATATGAGTTAAAATGTCCTTGAATGATTTTTATTAAAGTAGAAAAATGTGAAACATGTTTATTGCTCAGGAAGTTTCCTTTCCTTTCGTCATCTCTACATCAATCTTACGTAGGTGGAGTTACGATACAGTAACATTAATATGAGAAAATACATAATACTTAAAATGTGCCAGGCATCAACTCATTTAATTCTCACAACACTATGAGGTAGTATTATTACAATCTCCACTTAACAGATGAAACAAATGTTAAGTAACCTGTCCAGGTGTCGGACCAGGGATACACAGCATCACAAAACTACGCTACACCATCCATCTGTCCGATCCATCACGCCTGAGGATTTAGATTTGCGTTTACCTGGAGAATCTGACGGTGCCACAAAGTGGACTTCCCGGTTCGTGGCTTATGAGCCACACTGCCCGCTGGGCCATGATAAGCCACTAAGGCATCAGCTCTTCGCTAAGGTGGCCACCGAAGAAGAGCGCAGACCAGCTTTCTCAGGCGTTTTCTTTTACCAGAAGCCCCGAGGCTCACGCAACTAGAGCCACATTCTGCCCCACCACAGACAGGTCGGGCTCAGCAGAGAAGCTAACTCCTTCAGGTGAAGTCACTAAAACCTCTGAGTCCGCGCTGGACAACACACGCCACAAAAAGTTCTGTGAATCCGCCCTTAAAACCTCCGGAAATCTATTTATCCCCACCAACCCTGCTACTTTCTTCCTTTCGAGTCCACTTCCGGGACGGTAGCCCGCAAGGATCATGATGCCTCACTCGCCCGCGCGGGGAGCCTCTTCGCGGTTCGCCTGCTGCTCTCCCCCTTGCCGGCCCCTCCCAACAGCCACCCGGGCGCGCGCAGCTCCACTTCCGGCGTACGAGGCGGTGACAATGGGAGCGGCGCGGGCGGCGCCGGGAGGCAGCTGACAGGCGTCTGCGGCTTCGCTTCATGGCCGCTTTCCCGCCCCGCCTGGGCTCTGCGGGGAGCGGGGCGGCCCGCGGCGGCCGGGAGCCGGAGCTGGCGAGCCGAGCAGAGACCTGTGCGCGGCGCCGCTGAGGCGCAGCATGTGAAGAAGAGACGGCATCCAGTACGAGGCGAGCCTCTCAGCCGGCCGGGATGGCCACGACGGCCGAGCTGTTCGAGGTGGGTCTCCGCAGCTCTTCAGGGAGTGGCGGGCCCGGGGTGCGAGCAGCGAGGTGGGCGGGCAGAGGAGCGGGCGTTCGCGGCTGCGGGAGCAGCCCTGGGGAAGGAAGGTGAGAAGGGGAAGGGGGTCGGGTGGTAGCTCCCTTGTCGGCGCGGGCGGAGCGTGAAAGGGGGGAGGGGTGGCTTGGGGACCGGGAGGTGGGCAGGGGAGCAATCCCGGAGTCCCAGCGGAGGAGCATTGGTTTTGTCCGCACGGCTGGAAGGGAGCCTCGGGGTTTGGGCGTTGGAAGATGAACTCGGGATGAGAGTGGGAAGGGCTGACTTGGGGCGCGGAAAGAGGAGCCTGATCCAGGTCTGGCGAGCCCCGTCTTGTCGCCTGGATCCCCGCGTGATATTCTAGGGCCCCCCCCCCCCCGCCTTGAGATTGGGACGACTAGGCGCTTTTGGTGGTTGAGTAATGACTACGTTAGCCAGTGTTGGAAGCGGCGCTCACTTGCCTACGAGTTTACCCTTCCATTTGAAAAGGCTGTAGTATTTTTTACGACGATAAAGGCCTACTAAGCCCTTTCCGACTGAAGGAAGTCAAAACTAAAATTAACATTTGTGTTCGGGTCTTGAGGAATTGAAGTGTATTATAACCCCCCTCAGCTCGGTGCTTTGTGACGACCTAGAGGGGTGGGATAGGGAGGGTGGGAGGGAGACGCAAGAGGGAGGGGATATGGGGATGTAGGTATATGTATAGCTGATTCACTTTATTATACAACAGCAACTAACACACTGTTGTAAAGCAATTACACTCCAATAAAGATGTAAAAAAAAAAAGAATCCTTAACGCGTGAGACAGTGAGATTCTAATGTGTTTCTTGGACCGTTTTCAGTCTCTAAAACTTAAAATTCAGTTTAGGGGAATCCTGTGTGAGAAGCTGTGATGCTTGAGATAATAGAATAGGAAAATTTTAATTAGACCACCTAACAACGTGTAGGGGATCTTCTTTTGTGACAGAAATGAAAACTGAGATGTGAAGGAAGGGGAAGGAAGAACCTTTTTGATGTGTGCTTGTGTTTCATATTGAATAATAAAAGTGTAAGAAATAATTAAGAAGACTGCAGTTGACAATAGATAATTTCTCCATAAGTGAAAATTGGATCCTTTTTTCTGCGTGAGATTCAGCAGGTTTTGTTTGGTTTTTTTTGGCTTAAAATTTGAATGCCACAGTTTCTATATCAACTGGGAACTTTTCATTTGTTAGCTAACTATATTTTGGGTTTCTATCAGCTTTTGGATAGATAATGCATTTATTGAGGAATAGTATATGGCATTTTTATAATAAGTTGTAATAAGATAGTAATTTATGAGTGAAGGAATATAATTGTAAGAAAGAATTGGGAAATATTAATTACATTTCCTCAGATTTAAGTGTAGGGGTATATTTTACATTAATTTCTCTAACTCCAAAATTGTGCCATCTGTTTATTGATTGACACAGGAGCAGGGAGACATTCTTGTTGCTACAAGCTTTTACTGTGTGTTCCTGAGCAAGATACTAAGTAATTCTGTAGTTCCTTGTTTTATTTTCACATTTTTGTAAAGGTAGAAAACAGTTTATGAACTTGAAGCCTTTAATATAATGAAATATGGGACAAGCCAGCTACTAATAGAAAACTGTTATTTTGTCATACAGTTCAGAAGGCATTAACCTTTGGGCTTATGGATCCTGCTTGACATTCCCAGTTGTCTTTTTTTTCTTTGAATGTTTGATCCCATGAGTCCACATATACTTCCTTGAAAATATATTTGATTTCTGTTCCCCCTGCCCCCACCATGGGGGAAGGAGAGGAGGTAGAGAAATATCTGTAGTATATTTAGCTTTCTAGGGTCTTGCCATTTAGTAAAGTAGTTAAACTAAATTAGGCTTTAAGTTAACTCAGTGACTCCAGTTATAATAGCAGGTAATATTCAGTTACCAGTGATGATAGAGACAGACTAGACCTGTGTCCACAGTGTTTATAGAACGACCTTGAACATGCTTATGGATCTTAACTCATGTGACTTTCTCTTTCCTGACCATATGTAGTATGTTGTTTCATCAAAATTAAAAGCGTATTACCTTAGGGACTTCCCTGGTGGTGCAGTGGTTGAGAATCTGCCTGCCAATGCAGGGGACACGGGTTCAAGCCCTGGTCCGGGAAGATCCCACATGCTGTGGAGCAACTAAGCCCGTGCGCCACAACTACTGAGCCTGCGCGTCTGGAGCCTGTGCTCCGCAACAAGAGAAGCCACCGCAGTGAGAAGCCCTTGCACTGCAACGAAGAGTAGCCCCCGCTCGCCGCAGCTAGAGAAAGCCCGCGTGCAGCAACGAAGACCCAAGGCAGCCAAAAATAAATAAAATTTTTTTAAAAGCATATTACTTTAATAGTTACAATTAAAGGTAAATAGTCGTGATTAAGAAGTGTATTTATCTTTTCATCCCTACAGTGGATTCTACTCTTGAATAAGTTTTCATCCCTAAGTGAAAAGTTGGTCTCTTTGCTTTAGAGGGAGAAGGAAAAAAGAAAACAAAAACCAAACTTCGTTTGTCACCGCCATTTCCTGTTGCTTTTGCCTTAGGACCTAGGTTGTAGGAAAGTCAGGAGTGCTTTTTCTCTTGCTTCCCTTTCTTAGTCACAGCTGGAGAACTGTGGAAAACAGAGGTCAGGATGTAGTCAAGGATATTTAGTTTTTACATCCTGGCTTTAATGCACCAATAAACTGAGTTGTGTTTTAATTTCTTCACATTGAAAAACAAGTTAAATCAATACAAAATTATGTTTTGAATCCATGAAATTTCATAAGTGTTAATCCTATTTCTTTTAAAATCTTACTGGTCCTGTGAGACTTCCTTTTTAACATAAACACCTTCATACAACAAAATCAAACTACCGGATATTTCCTCAATTGACAGAAATCGTTTAAAAGTTCTGTCTGCAGTGTTTCTAAATGATCACCTCAGGTTGGACATTGTAAACAGGAATTCCTATGTGGTTTGGATTATGTCCTCTTTATAAAAAGTGGCGGGGATAGGGATAGTAAATTTTTTCTTTGTTGTCATAAGTATTCCTCTCTTTTCACTGCACTACTGAGAACATTGTACTCCCTTCTCACTTGCTATTTTTCTCTCCTGTCATTCTTCTGGAGACAATGACTATTCTTCTGCTTGGGCAAGCTACCTTTATGGGAAAGTTCTTTGTTAAGTAGGATCCGTTACCCATTCATTCAACAAATATTTGTTGAGTACCTACTAAGTTAATGAGGCTGCATGTCTCAAAGGGTGTGCTGTATACATATTAATCCTATGAGATGTGCTGCAAAAAACCCAAATGGTTCAGAGCCCAAGGAAGTTTGGGGTATGGGCATGCTTTGTTTCATTAGAGATTTACAATATACCTTAGTATGTTAAATATTCTAAGAAGTTCATTTCCCAAACTTCTTTGACCATGAGCCTGTTTTACTTTCTACTGTTAGTTTTGTGAATTCTATGGAACATACTTTGGAAAATGTTGAGTTATATATAGAACTCGCCCTTACTGTTAAATAAGGGAAGAGAAGATAGATATATAACTATATATATATGTATAAAGCAGACAAGACGATAAAAGTCCAGATATAAAGGGAGGTAACTGTAGACCCCAGAGACAAGGGAAGAGTTCATTTTAGCTGAAATATATAGCATGCATGAAGAAGAATAGTGCTATGTAAGGTAATCGGGGTTTAATTGTAGAGGTCCTAAATGCCAGGATTAGAAATTTGATTTTTTTTTCTTGTAAACGTAGATGCCTTGATAATAGTGTTTGAGGTCATGTAATTTGACTGTGGTGACAATGGCTATTTGACTTCCAGATTAGAATTTGAATAGCTAAGAACACGTTTGTGTAAAAACATATTTATGTCTCTTAGATTTACAAACTAAGTAACAAAAGCTATTTAAACAGACTTATTGAAAAAGACTTATTCTCTTGTTCAATTAACTATTTAAATATGTTTAATGAACATGAGATATACAAGTAAGGACCACTCCTTTACCTTCAGGGTGCTGAAATGCTACTTGTTTTAGACATATTAGCTATTAAACAAATGTTTGTGGAACCTCGCCACCAATTACAGTATCATGTATATGAGAAAATGTATTCATTCAGTAAACATTTAGCTTACCTTACCTTACCTACCCTAGGCCAGAAATCCTTCCAGGTACTGGAGTTAAAAGATGGTTTGAGTTAAAAATCTAGTTGGGGGAGTCAAAGAAAAAAAAAAGAACTCTTTCTTCTCTCAACATTCTACCACTACTCTCAGTATTACTTCATTTCTGACACCAGATGTGTGGGGATTTTCTTCCACAACAATTCAGTTCAGTTTTCCAATAGACACTGACTGGGTATCCTACAATTCACTCTAATTCTGATACTGTTTACCTGGAGTTAGCATCAGATCCCACAAGTTAAGGGCTCAGTCCCACAAAAATGCCCCCAGTTCAGATACCAATTGCAGTCCAGGTTGTCACCTGTGTTTCTGACTGACAGCTATAAATTGGAGGGTCTCATGACCCCCTCTTAGAGATTCAGTAATTTGCTAGAACGGCTCACAGAACTCAGGAAAACAGTTTGCTAACTAGATTACTGGTTTATTATAAAAAGCTAAAACTCAGGAACAACCAGATGGAAGAGGTACATAAGACAAGATATGGGGAAGGAGTGCAGCACTTCCCTTCTCTTGGGTGCTGCCACCCTTCCAGCACCTTGATGTGTTCAGCAACCTGGAAGCTCTCTGAACCCCACACTTTAGGGATTTTTATGGAGGTCTCATCATGTAGGGATAATCATTAACTCAATCTCTAGCCCTTCTCCCCTTCCCAGAGTATAAGGGGTGAGGCTGAAAGTTCCAGGCTTCTAATCATGCTTATCTTTCTGGTGACCAGTCCCCATACAGGAGCCCACCAAGAGTTGCTTCAGTAGGACAAAAGATGCTC